TTTGCTATTCATTAAATGACTTATCACATGAAGTGTAGCTCGTGTATTGTGTGTGGTGTTGTGTGTGGAATGCTCGCGTGTGTGTGTACTCGCTGTGATGTGTGTATGTCCGTGTGTGAACGTATCACTAAGTGTCGCGCCTCGATGTGTGAAGTGCAATCGTGTGTGTTGTGATGCGTCGCTGTTCTTAGGCTTTTATAGCTTCCATTGCATGGCCGTATGACTACTATATCTACAGTCAACTGTATTTGTATGAAAAAGTATATACAGCTGTATAGTCTTTGGAGAAAAGTGTGTAAATATTGTGTATATGCTCTTTTTGGTTATTCCACATGACCAGTACATCCTTTATTATTTATGATTCCTGTGCCTGTATACTGCTGCTAGATTGCTTCAATTTACTTATTTATGCTAAATTTATATGTATTATGCTTATGCATCTTTGATATATGTTAAATATATGTTAGTTTTTTATTTTTGACGCGTCATATCGTGGTAATGCTCATGGATACTTCGTTCGTCGCTGCTGTACTACATCAATTCATTCTCTCTCGCTGAGTGTTAGCTGATATGTGAGCGATCAAACTCTCTATGGACTGAGGATGAAATAAAATATATGCGCTTAAATGTCTCATCATCTATTTATCTAAGAGCTAAACCGGTCGCTTCTTGTGGGAGCTTACGCGTTAGGCAAGATACGCCCATTCATGCTTCAATGGGAAAAAATGCTACGTCGCGGAGATGGCGCATGCTAAAACGCTAGTTAGCATAGGTATTTAAAACAAGTATCTATGGTAAAGAGCAGCCAAACACACACTCGAAACGTGCTTAAGACAAACTGTAGCTAAGTAAATAACTGAACTAAAGTCAGGCTGTAGCCATTACATCAACTTGTTACTCCCCGCAGAGCAAACTGGAATGTAACTGAGCTGTTAGCGATAGCCGTAGGTTGTTAGACTTAGCAGTTACGACTTTAGCCTGTTAGACTTTAGCGTAGCACTTTAGCTTTTAGGCCCTGTCTCTTAGACTTTAGCTGTTAACGATAGCTGTGAGACTTATAGCTTTGTAGGCGTTATGCTGTAGTCTGTTAGACTTTTAGTGACCTGTTTAGTCAACGCATAGCTGTTAGACGCTTTCGCTTTAGTGCTGTAGCTGTTAGACTTAGCTGTTACGACTTCGCCCGTTGATCACTTAGCAGTTAGACTTTAGCTGTTAGACTTTAGCTTTTAGGCTGTAGCCCTGTTAAGACTTTATTTATAAGATAGTTTGAGGACTATTTTGTCGCACATTTTAAAGTCTTTTGTGCAGTCTTCTTTCTCCAAGTATTATAGCCTGTTTGCTTAAATAAGATAACTTCTGATCCGTGATTTAACTGTAAGCTATAGAGTGTAAAATACACTAATGAAACTCTCCAGATGTTTAATCACCTCACCTTTTCTTCTCCTCCTTCTCCTTCTCNGCTGAGAGCCACAAGCACATGGTTCACGTCTGTGTATGCATTTATCGTGTTTGTAATGGATTAGCAAAGCCAGAGAAATGTTTCAAAGGTCAGAAAGTTTCCAGTGTCAGAGGAGAGACTCAGGAGAGAGCACGCAGGCAAGAGAGAAATGCACTGAGGGAGAGAGCTAGGGAGAGAGCTAGGGAGAGAGCTAGGGAGAGCGAGAGAGAGAGAGAGAGAGAGAGAGAGAGAGAGAGAGAGAGAGCGAGAGAGAGAGAGAGAGAGAGAGAGAGAGAGAGAGAGAGAGGGTGACCGGTTCTCAGCTATGAGTCAACGAAAGTCAATTTTGCTCTGACTGGCGCGAGCATTATGTGTACCGGCTTCTCTGTCACTGTTTATTGTGCGCGAGTGGCACAGTGTGAAAATGTCTTTGTCAATGGGATAGTGTCTCTAAAGATCAAGCCATGCTCACCGGATACTTTGCCTAAAAAAAAAAGCTCACTGTCTGGATCCCAGCCCTGTCAATGGGTAATAGGCTGTTTGACTGTCAGCCATGGGAAACATCTGCGGCTGCGTTCGAGGCCCTAAAGAGGAATGCTACGTCGACCCCAAGACAGCTCCACTGAGCCTTGAGTCTAAGGAGCTCAAAGGGCGGCGCTATTTTCAGAGGAAGAAAAGGAAATCAGGGGATTTTCAAGCTGCTGGATCTCTCAGGAGTCTTAGACGTGGGGAGGCTGTTGCAACTGAAGCCAACTGCAGTAGTGCAGAACCTAAAGGTGTCCCAGTAGAGAACCCAGAGGAATCCCAAGCAGGGCTGGATAAAACAACAGTGTTGAAGAAACATGTATCCAGGCAGGACAGCATCAGCACAGGCGTGTATGTTGGTGAGGTACCAGTTTTGGTACTCAGAGATCCCTCTAATCAAACAATCAAAAGGTTAGCTTACAGGCCGGGAAGGTTTTTCACAGACGATGACAGAAGCAGGTCCTCCGTAGAAGAAAAGCTTCACTGCATTAAATCAACTCCCAGAGGCGCTTCACCTAAGGATGGTCTGCTTGTAAAGAGGCTGCTGCAGAGGCAGTTAAGGAGGGCTGTCAGCTTTGGAGCAGTGGAGCACATGCTAAGGACTCTGAGGGGTAATGACAGACCTGGGAGTGAGGAGACGTTTGCCAAGATTATATGTGGCTCCCAAGCACACAGGAGGAAGAGACGGAGGGCCCACACCTGCTCTGGTTACATAGACCATCTTCCAGCTCCTGACAAATGCATTTCCAACCAGCATGAGGTAAACATAGTGCGGTTTATAAATAGTCATTAATAATGACAGAAAATGTTGTGATTGGAGTAGGATTTATCATGAACATTGCAAGGTTTGTTTACAAATCATGAATCAAGCACTATGTTAAACATATTTTTGCATCGAATAAAGAATTTCTGAAGAGAAATGGCGGTTTGTTCAACTAGTTTTCCCAGTAAATCTTAAGCATAGATAATGATCTCTTTACTGTAGTGTATTTCTGTCTGTTCAAAGTCATTCTTGGGTCACATACAAATCATAGGTTATTAAAGGTATGTTACACCCCAGGCGTCACCTGTGGAGAAGATGAAATACTTTGGCATTTACCTAGTTCTGTTAAAATATGTATGCTGCTCATCTGTATGTAGAGAAGAACAGTATGTTGACGTTTTTTTAATAAAAAAAAAATCTATCTTATCAATAGTTGGCAGGTGTTTCACAGCATCAGGATGGAGCTTTAACTGTTAAAGAGTCGAAGCATGCTCTTACCCTGTGTCTGTGTAATAACTGATCTAATTAGAATAGTCACTTTGGTATATTATAAAAAACGTGTGTGACAGTAAACAGTGTTTAATCTAAAAGGTGGCAACCTTCCTGGCCTTAAGGGTTGCTGTTTGTCCCCTCTTATCATTTTGTAAACTAATGGCTACCATAGTTTGTATGAAACTCGGCACGGTATAAACTATATTGATGATGCAGGGATTGATAGGCTTGTGGTGTTACGGTCAATGAGTTTGTATCATGGTCTCAATCCTTTTTATATTTATTTTTTAAAAACAGCATTTTATTGTTGTGTTCTACTCTCTCTTGTTGAACACCAACTCTTATACAGTGCTCTGACATCACCTTGTTTTATAATAACAAATGTCTTGGGAACGTTTTTTACTGTCACATTTTTCTAATCCAGTTTGTGGGACAGAAAGCACACCAATGTCTTTATTTTCTTTTGAAAATAATAGTTTTGCCTGTGGATCCATGCAGCCTTGTTCGGTTTGTTCGCTATAATGAAAATTGGAGGATAATTCACTTTTTCACTTTTGTTAACATTGTGGGATAGGGCATTTGACAATGGCTGAGTTCTGTGTTCTCTGAGTACCTTTCTAGTTGAATGTGTTTTATCCTTTTGCATCAGTGTGCGATTGACATCTTAAGTCAGTAAAATCAACAGTCAGTAAAATTCAACTTGTCTATATCATACTGTGTTCACGAAGTTTGAGGTAGGGCCACAGTCGTTCTTTAAGGGTTCCGGTAGTAACTGTAATATTGGTTGTTAACTGGACTCTAGAAATGTTTCAGAGTTTGAAAATGAAGAAATGTGGTTAGGTTGGTGGCATTCTTCCTCCATTCTTTTCTTCAGGATGTGGTTATTATGGTTACTGTTTCTGTTTTTCACTGCTGCTTTTATGACAGATGTCTGGCTTCAAATCCCTTCCTCTTGGAAGTTTGATTGATGTTCTTCTTGTAAAATCTATTCAGTGTTTTGCTTCTTCTTGGCTTTTGTTCAAACTATGTACTGACATAAATGTTCCTGGTATATGGAAATTAGAAACAACTCTCTAAGATGTACCCCATGTATTGCTGGCAAATTGAAATACAGTGTGTCTGACATGTGGCATTCCCATTAATGTGATTGTTTGGGATGTATGTTACAGGAAACAAAGCACAGAAGCTTAAATATATGCTGAATATAACGTGAGCTGTAGATAGAAAGTTTGCTGAGATGTCATACATGTGCTTTAAACCCGCTGTGGTAACAATGCTGTCAAACTCAACCTGTGAAGAGGCACTGTTTGTTTGATGTCATCCTAATCGTCAGTATTCCACATTGTAAAACTTCTGAGTCGTTTAGTACAAATGTTTATCTTAAACTGACCTCCTGACTTTTTCCATGTCTCTAGTGTGAGAAGGAATGGTAATGAACCTGATAAGGAAACTATTAACTATTTTAAACTAAATTCACAGATGAGTCAAATATGAAATAAAATATTTTAGTTTTATTATATTGTTCCCTGTGCAAAAAACAAACAAACATCTTTGTGAAGCTTAAAGTGTTCCGTCATTGTTGTGACATGCAGATTATTATGTAGTACTTTAATGGCTGTAGCTTGTGTTCTTGTCACGTTTGATTGTATTATTGTATATTTCAAAGTTTTGTTGTGATTGTTACTTATTAGTAATGGTGAAGTCTTGCTTGGTTGTTATCCACAGTTTGTGGGTTAGATGTTTTGTGTCTGTGCGCCATTTAACGTCAGTCCATCTTGACAGATCTCGGAGATCCATGTGACAGGAGAGTCCCAAGACATGACAGCCAAAGAGAGGCTACTCTTCTGGACCAGGCAAATGACAGAGGGCTACGTTGGCGTACGATGTGACAACTTCACAACCTCGTGGAGGGATGGGAGGCTATTCAACGCCATTATACATAAATACAGGTACGGTAACACCAAAGTAACTGCAGGGTTTATTTTCAAAATAGGAAAGCACTACATCCAACTCCTCATTGTTCTCTCTTTCTCTCTTTTATAGGCCAGACCTGATTGACATGAGCTATGTGTCGACACAGCCCAACCGATCAAATTTAGAGAACGCGTTTTGTGTAGCTGAACAGCTGGGGGTTGCCAGATTGCTGGATCCCGAAGGTGAGATCCATTCACTGTGTCATGTTTGCTTTTACTCCAAAAACACTAAAAGATTTTAACAACTTTGTGCTATTAATCATGTGGAGTGAAGCTTGGAGATGTTAACTTGAGGGATAATTCTTCTACAAACATAGTTAATTGTCATGTGTGCATATGTGACCCTTTGGTTTTGTCTTCCCTCATCAGATGTGGACGTTCAGGCACCCGATGAAAAGTCAGTAATCACATACGTGTCGACACTGTATGACGCTTTCCCCAAAGTACCTGACGGCGTTGATGGAATCAGTCCCATTGTGAGTTGATGGCATCGGTCCACCAGTAACTCCACCTTAATTCCAAGTCAAAGTGCTGAAAAGTGCTTCATTGCTGATGGTCCTCTTTCTTTGAACAGGATGTTGATATCAAATGGGTGGAGTACCAGAACATGATCAAATACCTCAGCCAGTGGATCAAACACAATGTGGCCATAATGACAGACAGATCATTCCCCAACAACCCTGTGGAACTAAAGGTATTAAAGAAGTGGATTCTTTGGTTTATTTTGCATTATGTTGGGCTACAGCTGTCTTATCTTACATTGTGTATGTGCTGTCAGAAGCGTGAAGGCGAGTTGTCTGCTTCAAAGAACCCATGTCCAGCATCTATCTGCTGTAACTGAGACTTAAAGTGATATTGATGGATATGAGAGAGCAGCGGCATCCATTTACCGCAATTAGTCGATAGCAGCTAACAGTAAAGGCACTTTTATGCAGACAAGGGGAGAGTACAGACACATGTATAGAGATCTGTCTGCTTGAAAACATCTGTTCAGTTGCCTTATGGTTCAAGTGCTTAATCATCATGTTTGATACAAACTCTGCTTTCTTTTACAGGCACTTTATACACAGTATCTGCATTTTAAAGAAAATGAAATCCCTGTGAAAGAGAACGAGAAGACAAAAATCAAGAATCTCTATAAAATGCTTGAGGTATACTAATCCAAAATAGAAAAAAACATGCTACTGTAATCACACATTGAGTGGTTGAATGGTTACATACTGTACTGATAATAACAAGTCTGTATTTTGGCTTATCTGACAGATGTGGATCGAGTTTGGACGTATTCAGTTACCCCAGGGTCATCACCCAAATGATGTTGAGAAGGAATGGGGGAAATTAATAGTTGCTATGCTGGAAAGAGAGAAGAGCCTGAGGCCTGAGGTGGAACGGTATGTGGAGGCACTGCACGTATTAATACTGAGTGTTTTCTGGCTCAAAATAATATGATTTAAACGGGGTCATTTTTATAGTATTTGAAAGCAAATGTTGTGGGTTACTTGTCCGTCAAAAAGTCACCATCGAACAAAAACATATAGTTGGTGTTTTGATATGGCAAAATGTGGACAGTATGAGGCAACAACAAAGGATTTAAAGCAAGAAATATCATATTTTATTTAGTGAAGAGCATTTAGAAAATGTGTAAATATCTTACATGAGTTCCTTATGGTGGTGAAGGCTGTGTGATAATATTGCAAGCATACTAATGTCTCTATTGCACTGAGGTCAGGGTCAGGGTTTATGTCAGAGATTGATTGTCCTTATTAAATTACAAATCCCCTCACTGGACCATGGCACACTACGATATGAAGTCTATCAACATATTTATGAGCTGTTGTACACAATATTTCCTGATCAGATTTACTGCAGCCATAATGCACCGTTTCTATGTGATAAGGTTGCGAGGGTTGGTTCTGCTTGGATGATCGAGTGTTTTGAAAAATATGAGCAGCAAACAAATTAATCATAAATATGTGTGGGGAAAATATGAGTTGCTTTCCATTCTGAAACCAAATCAGGATGGATCTAGTTACTTTAAAAAGGCAGATATTTGCAAATGCTCATAGATCAGAGTGGCTGCTTTCAGAGGGCAAGCTCAGTCAAGTTTTTGAGCTCAAGCTGGTGCTTTGTTTACAATATTTGTTAGAAGAGTTGATACTATTTCTATGGAAACTAAATACAGAGATTGTGAAGTTAACAATAGTTTAGACAAATTCAAATCTTTGTCCCTTCCTTTATCATCCATAAACGCATATTTACCCTATTGATGTTGGGAGTGGTAAAATCTGGCAGCAAAAGCAAAAACAGCAGCTTGGCCGCTCCTTATGCAGCCTCAGTTGGTATAAAGGAGTACTGTCTCAACCTGCTATTTAACTTTATCCCCTGAGGCAGCACATTATGTCAGGGTGGGAAACTCGCTCTGCACCTGGCCATGGCGCTATAAATATGAGCGAGTTGAAAGCCGCTCCATCAGTTAGGTCTGCGAATGCTGGCCGCCAAACTGTCAAGGCTGGGTCGAGGCTGGGATCCTTTCAGAGGGAGGACTAGAACGAGAAATGTAGCGTGGATTGTTCGAGTCGCTGGTAATAGCAGCGGTGGTTGACCAGTAAAAGTAAGATGGCCTATTTTAGTGGGACCTCGTCTGTAAGCAACAGTAGCTTCAACAGTCTCTGCTCCAATGACACCATCCTCACTGAACCGTTACAAATCAACAACTCGATCTTTCTCAATAACAGCATTGCCTATGGATCCAGGTGAAGTTACGTCTGCATTTTGAAGATTCTTTTTTTTTTTTAAGTGATACTAACTCATCTTTTGTTTTGTAAAGGCTTGAGATGTTGCAGCAGATTGCCAACAGGGTCCAACGGGACTGTGTAAACGGAGAGGACAAGCTGGCGTTGGCAAGAATCGCCCTGCAGTCTGTAAGTTTTGTGTTTTTGACTTGATGAAAATAGAGATAAATAGCAGTGTGTGTACAGTCCTTTGTGATGAGTCTCTTTTTTCCCCTCTGCTAAGGATGCAAAACGTCTTGAGTCTGGTATCCAGTTTCTAAATGAAGCTGAGATTGCTGGCTACCTCTTGGAGTGTGAGAATATCCTCAGACAGCAAGTGGTGGACATCCAAATTCTTCTGGATGGGAAATTCCCCTTTGCGGATCAACTTGTCCAAAGGTAAAATATATCTTCTTGCAAAAAAAAAGAAACTTTTCCGGGTCTCTTGCATCTCATATTGTTGTGTCTTTTTGAATGCAGGGTATCACAACTCCGAGATGACCTGCTCTCCCTGAGGTCGGAGTGTTCTTCCGTGTACAGCAAAGGACACACGCTCACGACAGAACAAACCAAAAGGATGATTTCAGGCATCACACAAAGCCTGAACTCTGGCTTCTCTCAGAACATCAACTCAAGCCTGACACCAGATCTCACCCCGGGGGGTTTAGGTACCCCTGGCTCCACATTCACCTCCAGCCTTACACCGGGCATGACCCCTTCCTTCAGCCCTGCAATGACCCCCGGCCTGCAGCCCGCTTCAGTCCAGGGCTTCATGGGGAGTGGTGGTGGTGGCATGGACCCTGGCAGCCTCAGGCAATTGAAACACATGCAGATCCGCAAGCCCTTACAGAAATCCTCCCTGGCAGACCCCAACATGACGGAAGAGGAGGTCAACATGAAATTTGTTCAGGACCTCCTGAGCTGGGTGGAAGAGATGCAGGTGAGTCACAACCATCAACTTCTTCATAATGTAGTGTAGCTGTTTTGTACACATATTCAATAATATATGTGTGTTTTTTTGCTTTAAAGTTGCAGCTTGATCGTTCAGAGTGGGGATCTGATTTGCCAAGTGTGGAACTGCATTTAGACAACCACAAAAGTGTTCACAGAGCCATTGAAGAATTTCAAATGAGTCTTAAAGAGGCCAAACTGAGTGAGGTAAGCACTAAGCCGTTTATCTCTTGCTTGCTTATGTATTATTTCCAAGTTGAAACATCAACAATTGTACATAGTGTTATACCTAATGATTGTTTGTTTCTTTATGCACACATAGTACAATTAAACAGATACTGTACATGCATAATTTGAAGGAAATGTAAAGGACAATTCCCTAAAACCCTCTAGGGGTCTTGAAAATGTGCATTCTCCAGGCGGTATATTACAGGAAATTGTTAAAATAATGTAATGTACACAACTTGTATGTATCTATGAATAGTTTTGGACATGGTAAAAACTGAGAGCTAAGCAAAGTACTTGCAACAACTGGTATGACATTGGGCTGAAGTGGCCTGCACTTGGTTTGTGCAGAATAAAAACGAAAATATTTTCTTTTCTCAGATTCAGATGCAGATCCCCCTGAAAATAATTTATTCGGACAAACTGAACAAACTAGAAAAGCAGTATGAAAGGCTACTGGTAAGTGATCCCTGAGCTCAATAGTCTTTATCTGAAATATGTGCTGTACTGTAAATGCTAAACCTTATTTATGTACTCTTTTTAGAACAACTCCAGAGAGCGACAGAGCCACCTGGAGAGCCTGCAAGACTTTGTGTCGAAGGCGACTCAGGAGCTGATCTGGCTGAACGAGAAGGAGGAGGAGGAAGTAGCCTTTGACTGGAGTGATCGCAACGGCAGCATTTCCAAGAAAAGAGACTACCATGCTGTACGTATTTCCTGTTTAATAAACAGTCTTCTAAAGTGTAATCTTCAACGCAGATGGAACAGCAAGGGTTTAGGTAAATATTGTGGGATTACAGGTGCATTCATTTGATACAACTATAATCCCAGTGGAGGGATTTGTGTACTGTGTCCTTGTAATGATTACCTTCAGCTCTGTTAGACAGGATGTGGGATTGTGGGAGATACTCAGCCTAATGTCTTTTTACAGGACCTGATGAGGGAGCTGGATGAAAAGGAGGAAGTGATCAAGTCTGTGCAGGACAAGGCAGAACGCCTTATGCACAAGAACCACCCAGCCAGGCTGACTATTGAAGTAAGCCCTGTGTGTTTTTTTTACTTTTGCACACTCATTTCAGCTGGCAGTAGTTGCGTGCCGCCCTGCATACCGCTCCCACAATCATTAAAATAATTGTGATGTCTTTTAAGTGTTATAATTTTCAGCTATTACTCCTGTTAATTGTGTCTTAATTGTGGTGGGATGTCTCTCTTTAAGGCGTACAGGGCTGCCATGCAGACTCAGTGGAGTTGGATCTTACAGCTCTGCTCATGTGTAGAACAGCATCTCAAGGAGAATGCTGTTTATTTCGAGGTGAGCTGCTGCGTGGTATAGCCAATGAAGCAAAGTGTATTCGTTTGTCTCATCTAATTTATTATCGCATGTCTTTCTTTCTCTCATCGTCCTTCTTTCAACCCATGCAGTTTTTCAGTGACGCCAAAGAGTCCATGGACTACCTAAAGAGCCTGCAGGAGGCCATTCAGAGAAAATACAGCTGTGATCGAACAAGCAGCTTACACAGACTGGAGGATCTCATTCAGGAGTCCATGGTAAACTTATAGAGAGAAGAATGAAGTGTGTGTGCATTTTGAGAATTAGTGAAAAATACCTTATTTCTTTGGTATGGTGTTTTTCTAGGATGAGAAAGAGCAGCTTCTTCAGTACCGCAGCACTGTCGCTGGGTTGGTGGGCAGGGCCAAGAATATCGTGCAGCTCAGGCCCAGGAACCCAGAGAGCCCCGTGAGATCCTCCATCCCTGTGAAGGCCATCTGTGATTATCGTCAGATAGAGGTATACAGATGTCCTCTTACTTATAACACACTTCATTCCCTTTAATTGTCATTCTTATCATGAATGCATGGTGTTTCTTTATCACAACTCTTTCAGATTACCATTTATAAAGACGACGAGTGCGTGTTGGCCAGTAACTCTCACAGAGCCAAGTGGAAAGTCATCAACCCCGCAGGGAACGAGGCCATGGTGCCCTCCGTCTGCTTCACCGTGCCTCCACCCAACAAAGAGGCTGTTGACATGGCAACCAGGTGCGATGCTTGGCTTCATTTTGTGTCCTGTTCATCTAAATAAAGTTCTTCTTGAGTTCAGGTGACTGTTAATGAATGCATAAGCTCTTGTGACTGGACTTTGGTGGCTTACATTTTGTATTCCTCTTTGCTTTTTCCTGCAGAACGGAGCAGTTATACCAGAATGTGCTGGCATTGTGGTCCCACTCACACATCAACATGAAGAGTGTGGTATCTTGGTATTATCTAATGGCTGATGTACGAGCCATCCGCAACTGGAATGTGGCCTCAGTATGTTCAAATTATAACATTTTCCCTTTAAGACTCATCATACTTAATTTTGATGTTAATTGTAGAAAAGATGCACATACATGTTAGTCTTATTTCCACGTAATTTCTCCACAGATAAAGACCATGTTACAGGGTGAGCATCAGCAGGTTTTGAGCAACCTGCAGTCCCACTTCGACGAGTTCCTGGAAGACAGCGAGGAGTCCGAGGTCTTTACTGTGGCAGACTGTTCCCAGCTAGAGAGAGACGTTGCCGCCTGCAAGGAGTACTACCAGGAATTACTCAGATCAGCAGAAAGAGGCAAGGCTCACACTTCCCTTTTGTCCCGCACAACAAGGAGCCGCTGGTGCACATTTAACACGCGAGGGAAACACATGGCTCTTTAAGCCCATTAAGCATCAAGTTAATGCCTTTTGGAATTATGTTTTTACAGAGTTAAGAAGAGAGGTTGGCTTTGCTGTAAATTAAAAGCAAGCGCTATGATGTCTAGTTCTGAAAAAATACAAAATATATTTTTTTATACGTATATATTAAGTCAATTGTTCCCTTTTTTAAAGAAAGAGTTTTAATCTTATCGTATGTATGACTTCGCTTCACACTAGCAGTGTCAGCTATTTAGTTGCAACAGGCCTTACTCTGCTTTCTATTGGGATAATGATGCCACCTAGTGGGGATTATGTGTGCTTTCAGTTACTGTGTATGAGATTTAATGGAGGTTTAACCATATCTTTTTTTTAATTATGTGATATTGCCCAGAAATGTCCAAATGGAAACAATTGTTCACAACAGCTTTTTTTTAAAATTTTAAATAAGAAACAGAATTGGCCTTTCATATCTTCATACCTAAAAATATGAATATAAACATATTTAATATTTTTGTGATTATCTTTTCAATTTTTTGTAAACAGAGGAACACGAGGAGTCGGTGTACAATCATTACATCTCAGAAATACGCAACTTCCGGATGCATCTGGAGGCCCACGAGGAACACCTGATCAGGCAGCTCCGCACCCCGCTGGAGAGAGACGACCTCGAACAGAGCCTGCAGCGCATCACAGAACATGAGGTACAAATGTGGTTATCAATAATAATTTCATTTTTTCAAGAACTTATGGGTCATGTTATCTTAATCCTTATTATTTGTCATGCTACTCTGCAGCAAAAGACAGCGGAGATGAACCGAATGAAGGAGGACTTTGACGTTATGAAGGAGAAGTGTGAGCTGTTCCTCAGACAGGCTGCAGGTTTTCCTTCTGTTCCAACACTTTCCTCTGAACTCACCGTCCTCATTCAGAGCATGAGCCAAGTGTACTCCATGTCTTCCATCTATATGGACAAGTAGGTGGCCATTTTAAGAAGTAAACATTGGGCGTTTGGATTATTGTACAAGACATATATTTGCATTAAAAGTACCTACATTGAAGGCCCTTTCTCTTTTGTGTTGCAGACTGAAAACAGTGAGCTTAGTGGTGAGGCACAGCCAGAGTGCAGAGGCTCTTGTTAAGTCCTTTGAATCCAAACTCTATGAGGAAGACGCTATGAACTCTGACGTCAAATCCATCGAGACAGTCATTTCAACACTAAAGGTAATACACTGTTGAATTGAACACATCACTAACATTAGCATCGTTCATAGTTCCTTTTTTAGTGACCACTTGTCCTTATCATTCTAGCAATGGCGGTCAGAGATTGATGAAAAGCAGGAAGTGTTCCATGATATGGAGGATGAGCTGCAGAAAGCACGAGTCATCAGTGACCGCATGTTCAAAGCACACAACGAGCGGGACTTTGACTTTGACTGGCACAAGGAGAAAGCTGATCAGCTGAGCGAGAGATGGCAGAACATTCACTCCCAGATTGATAGCAGGTCAGTGTTAAATGTAGGATTTTAACAAACAACATTATATATAAGTGTTTGTACTGCTCATTGATGCTGTACATTTTTAGGCTTCGGGACCTGGATGGTATCGGCAAGTCTCTGAAACACTACAGAGACTCTCACAGTATTCTGGATGAATGGGTTAGAGAAATGGAAGCTGAACAACTCAACGCCCAAGAAAACAAACCTGAAGATAGCAAGGCACTGGCTGAGCTGTTAAACAAACAGAAGGTAGGACAACAGGTAACTTAACTGTTAAGGTAAAGACATGTATACTTTATATGGCAGTATAAATAAAAGTCTTTGTTTTCAGGTCCTTGTTGCTGAAATTGAACAAAAACAGGGCAGAATTGACGAGTGTCAGAAGTACTCAGAGCAGTACTCATCTTCCATTAAGGTAAGCTAATTTATCTTTAAACAAGTATGTGGTTTCTCTTATAGATGAACATAGCCGAGTTTTGGCAGCGGTCAAGATATGATCTAAACTGAACTTGGTTGTAGATATGAAGGAAACAACCTTGTAAACGTATATACATATATATACATTTATTTTTAGGATTATGAACTTCAGCTGATGACGTTCAGAGCGATGGTCGACTCCCAACATAAGTCTCCTCTCAAGAAACGGAAGATGCAGAGCTGTGCGGATGCCATTCAACAGGAGGTATCTAAATCTAGGATTTCACTTGGATAGGATATCATTGAATGCTCTTTGTTGAGTTCATTTCAGTCACACACTTGTTTTTCCTAAATTCACAGTTTATGGACCTCAGAACCCGCTACACTGCTCTTGTGACTCTCATGACACAGTATGTGAAGTTTGCCAGTGAAACCTTGAAGAGAACTGAAGACGAAGAGGTGAGAATTTCCTATTTTCTATACTTCCCTGCTTTTTACATTTACAGGAGCTTTTGCAGCATATTTTTGACTTTCGGGGCTATATGGACGCTTAAACTTAAAAGGCCTGTTTCCTTCTTATCTTGGCATGGTTTCTAGGTCTTCTGTTTCGCATCAACATATTTCACTGCCTCACTAAGATGTATTGAATCATGAAAGAATGCACTAAACTCTGTATCCCCCTTGAGTTCTTGACTTCCTGCGAGGGTTGTTTCTATTTTCGTAGATGTCCAGCTCATCACAAATGAAAACATATTCTTCATAGCTCAATAGAAGCAAGGGAATTGCGCGGATGCGTTGCATGTCTGCATGTATGGTATCTCTTTATTGCTGGTGACCTGCTGGGAAAAGTGAGCTTTCTTTATTCTTTCACACAGAGAAAGATGTCCTTTCTGTGGAAAAATAAATTCTCTCCAGGAATGTTTGTGGAAAAAATTGTAATACTGCCAAAGGTGCAGTGAGGAAATTAGTAACAAGTGCCATCAATTAAACCCTAACAAAATCTTATTGCACATTTACATTTTTAACCCTCCTCAATATTTCTGTTAAACTACAAAGTCACGCAGTCTTGATTTTATAAATTCCTGGAGAGATTGATTTATATGCCTGCAGCACTCTGGTGAGAAGTAAAGTATTCATGCAGATTATTCAACAATTTCTAATAAAACATAAGACAGTGGATGACATCTTTTTTTGCTTTATAGAGCAAAAAGGCTTTTGAGAGAACAGAGAATGCACAAAGGACAAAGAGTGTGGAGCTCCAAAAAGCTGCAGGGGAAATAGAGAATAGCCAACTTAAGGAACGGGTTCAGGAACAGGAAGCTCTGCTGGCTGCAAGACAAGCACAGCTGGAACAGTTGGAAGGAAAAGTAGAGACGCAACAGAAGACAATTGATGATCTGACTTTTCAGAAATCAAAGCTTGAGCATGACGTTAATCAGTATCGCACCAAGTTAGAAATATCGGTAAAAGACAAAGCTGCCAGTGAGATGGAGTTAAGTCACACAAAACTGTTAATCCAGCAGTCAGAGGCCAAGTGGTCTTTAGCTCAACAGAAAGTAGAGGACCTCCTAAAGAAAATGAATGATGAACAAGATCTTAAGCAACAAAGCCCTAAACCTAAGAGAAGAATACACTTGGAGGAAAGTACTGAGGGACGGGTGCAAAGTCAAGTCACGGCTAAAGTAAATAATCTGGCTCAGCAGCCTTTGGCATCTGACACCGAGTCGACAGTCAACAGTGAGCTTGAGTTATCTGCAGTCAGAGAAAACAACAGCAGGATGGCGGCTGTCCTAATGCAGAAAGAAGAGGAACTTGTCCTGATCCAGAAAAGAGCAGAAATGGCTGAGGAGAAGGCACAAGGTTATGAAAAGCTGTTGAATGACAGCAACAACAGACTGAGGAAGCTTCAGATGGACATGGAAACTGAGAGGAACAACATTAGACAGAAATCAGAGGATCTCCGACAGGAAGCAATGAACATGAGGAAATCAATCAACGAGCTTCAAGAAGAAATCAGATCTCTCCAGAGAACTAAGTCCTCATTGGAACAAAGTTCGTTTTTCCAAAGCACTGAAATTGAAGGCCTGAAAGAGCAATTGAAGAGCATCCAAGGAGATATGCTTAAGAAAAGCTCCTTGGAGCAGGAAAATATCCACAAGATTAACAACTTAGAAGAAGAGGTAGCTTCCAAGCAGGCAGTCGTAGATCAGATGAAGTTTAAATGCAACGAGCTAACAAGGATAAATGTCTCATCTGACAGTGATGTTAAAGGTCTCCAGATCCAAACAGAGTCATTGGAGAAAGATAGATCATTTGCTGATCAAAAAGTAAAGTCTTTAAAGAGAGAGATAGAGAGCTGGAAACAGCAGCTTCAAACAGCTGAGGAAGAATACAACTTAGTGAAGAGGTCTGAGCAGGTGTCACAACTCAAATGTAAACACCTCCAAGCAGAACTTGAGAAAAGTGAGTTAGCTGCTTCTCAATTGCAGAAAAGCGTAGATGAGTTCAAACAGATAAATATGGAGATGGAAAAGAATCAGAAGAATGTGACAGCTCAACTCGATCAGGTGACAATGGAGATTGACAGCAAGGATCAGCAAATTCAAATCTTCAAGTCTCAGGCCGAGGGCACAAAATCACAGGTTAAAATAATTGAGGATGAACTAAATAAAAAATCTCAGAACTCCTTTGAGCTTCAAATGAAACTCCAGGATTACAGTGAGGAGGTAAGGAGAATGACTGAACTGCAGCAGAAAATCCAAACACTGAATTCAAAAATTGGCAATTGTGAGAACGAAATATCAACTCTGAAATCAGAACTTCAGTCAGTGTTTGCTGAGAAGAACTCTGCAAATCAAAAGGTCCACATGCAAAATTCTGAAATTAATGATTTGAACACGCTGCTTAAGAAAAGAAATGCAGAACTCCAAAGAGAATCTGAAGAGAGTCAAAAACATCAGAATAAGATTAAGGCATTAGAAGATGAGCTTTACAACAATAAGCACAGTATTAAAGGGTTAACCAGTAGCTCAGAGGAAGTGACAGAAAACCTACTGCAGCGAGCAGCAGACAGAAACGTAGAGAACTTAAATGTCAAAATCTCAGAGCTCAGTTCTTCCGTACAGAGAACTAAAGATGAGTTGTTGAAAGAGACCAGAGAAAGAAAAGACAAAGATTCAAAAATATTGCAGATGGAGTCTGAGCTTCAGAAATATAAAGAAACAATAAAAGAAGTAACATCCAGTTCTGACAAATCCAGATCAAATCTTGAACATGAAAATACCATCCTTAAAATGGAGAAAGCTGAGTCGTTAGAGAAAAGCATCTCATTGGGAACTGAAGTCAGATTGCTGAAAGAAAATCTAAAACGTGCCCAAAAAGAAGCTGAACTAAAGCAAAATGAAAGCTCTGTCCTTAAGCTGAAGTCACAGCAGATGCAAGAACAGCTTGAGAAGTGCACACAAATGCTAGAAGAGTTGAAAAGTAAACTAGAGCTTCAGAAAGAGGGCTACGAGAGGCAGTTGTTGCTAGTGCAGACTGAAGTAGAGAAAAAACTCATTTTACTTCAATCTGAAATCTCAAGTCAAAGTGGAAATTCAAACCAGCAGTCACATAGTGAAGAATTAGCAGAAATGCTTAACAAGTATTTCAGACAAGATGTCAAACAGATATCAACCGTTCATCAAACCACCGTGGAAACAAAGCACCAATCAGACAAACTGCTGCAAATGCAGATCAGAATGGACCAACTGCAACAGGAAAGATCGAAACTCGAACATGAGCTCTTAAAGGCAACATTACAAACTTCCCAACTTGAGGAAGACCAATTTAAACTCAACTCAAAAGTAAGTGCTTTACAAGGCCTTTGCAATGAAAAGTCAAGTGAGTCGGCTAAGGGTACAGACAGTACACTGACACTGAAGGAAAATGAAGCTCTTCGGGATCAAATCGAGTCGTACGCCAAAGAGGTTAAACATCTTCAGGAAAAGCTTTTGATGCTCGAAGTCAGGATAATAACTGAAAACCAGGGCATGAACAAACAGGAATTCTTTGAAACCAGTCGTCACAATGTGTGGGATAACAATGCTGCATCAGTGAAGACAGAACAGACAGCGATGCAGAAGATGGTCCCCTCGTATGAAAGTGCTAAATACAACATGGAGGACGAGAATCGCAAAATCAAAGTGTCCGCAGAGGTATGGATGAAGTTCCACATTACTTTAGCACTATATTGTATTTATAAGAAAAACACATGTTTAAACGTTTCAAAGTTTTACTAATTATATATCTTTGTAACTGAAACATTCTTTCAATGTCACATCTACAGATGGCAACAATGGAGAAAGGCAATATTCTTGAAGGACTGAAACAAGTCAAACAAGATAAAATGGAAATAACTCACAGCCAAAGCATTCATGAATCACTGACAAAGAAATCCTTAAATATCTCTACTACTCAAAATCCCACTACCATCCAAGAAGACATGCAAAATGTGACATACAAGGGCCAAATAAAACCTGATGAGCCCATGACTGTAACAACACATGGATACATGGCGCTGTGTGGACTAACAGACCAACGTCCCAATGTAACACAAAGCATCACTAAGACCAAGACGTATCAGATTAAACAAACATGTGAAACTGTAAACACATCAGACATTGAGGGAAAACAAAGTGTGATATATTCAACTTCCCAAAAGCTCCCAGAACTCAAAGGCTACACAAGTATTCAAAACATGATCAACTTTAAACTCTTGGACGAAGAGGTTTTGAGGAAGTTCGAGGTGGGCCTCATCACAATGGAAGAGCTGCAGGCATCGCTTGCTCAATACGCCGGCAAACCAACTACTATTGCTGGAATATATGTGGAGTCAAGTAAGAAAAAGATATCCTTCCTTGAAGCTGCTGAGAAAGGTTTTTTGGCGAAGACGTACGCTCTTGAGTTCCTGGAGGCTCAGGCTGCAACAGGAAGCCTTACAGATCTGTCCACAGGGCAAACCTATCCAGTTGCTGAGGCTGTTGAGAGAGGTATTATAGAGGCGGGCCTGAAAGATAAACTGATAGAAGCTCAGAAAGCTATTAGTGGCTACATCCATGCTGGCAAAAAGCTGTCCGTGTTTCAGGCAATGGAGGAAAGGATTCTCGATAGATACAAAGGCAAGAAGATTCTTGAGGTCCAGTTAGCCACTGGTGGCCTGATCAACCCAGAGACTGGTGTCAGGGTGCCGGCTAGCATTGCTGTCGATCGGGGTCTTTTGAACAAGGAGACCCTACAGAGTCTGTACGATCCAGTCAGTAACCCCAAAGGTTTCCATAACCCTGACAGTGGACAGAAAGCATACTACTCTGAAATACTGAAGACATGCCTTTATGACATAGATGGTGGTGTATTTCTCTCCCCATTTGGTGAGAAACATCTAACAAACACCTCTCCCACGAGCTCTCACAGAGTGTCTGTTGTCAGCAGCAGCTCTGGCATCGAAATGTCAGCGTATGAAGCATTCAAGGGGCGACACATTGACAAGAGGACATATCTGTTCCTGTCACAGCAAGAGAGCGAATGGCAGGAAAAGTCTGTACTTGACTCCAACGGAAGCCCCCTTCACATCATTACTGATGTCAAAAGTGGTCGACAACTTTGTCTGGAGCACGCTCTGAGTCAGAGGCTTCTTGAAAGATCTGAGCTTGGAAGCTATCACAGTGGGCTTCTTAGCATATATGAGATTGCCGACATCATATTTTCAAGAATGGTGGTTGTGGAAGATGTCAAGAGCCCCGTTGCCGGTCTCTGGGACGTCACCCAGAGGAAAAGGCTGTCGGTTCTTCAAGGTTTTCAACAGGGCTTTACTGATAGAGCCACTGCCTCCAGGCTGTTGGAGGCCCAGGCCTGCACTGGAGGGATTTGCGACCCCTCTTCAGGGGAGAAAGTTACCCTCTCGGAGGCTCTCAAAAGAGGTCTTTTAGATGAGGCGTTGAATCAGCAGCTCCAACAGTTTGAGCAGGCATTTAATGGGATCATTCACCCCAAGACTTCAAAGACTTTGTCCATCACCCAGGCTGTTCAGGAAAATGTCATCCCGAAGGATGCAGGTTTCCGCTGTATTGAGTTCCAGCTCCTGACTGGAGGATTAATAAACCCTGAGACACATGACAGAGTCTCCCTCGAGGAAGTCATTCAGAGCGGCCTTGTTGACAAAGTTACTGCCTCAGTACTCAAAGAGGAGAGGTTCCAGACCAAAAGCCTCACCTGTCCGAAGACCAAGAGAAGAATCACTTTCAGGGAGGCTCTTGAGAGAAGTGTGTTCGACTGCCACACTGGGCTAAGGTTACTGGAGGCTACCAAAATTCATGGTTATGGAGCCAAGGCAACATTTCATTATGTTTGCGCCTACAAGTAATAACCATCTGTAAATATATGCTTGTCCATAGCATGACAGCCAAAGCTGTAAATAGATCTCTTTTGGTTTTGTGTTGGCTTTAAAGTTACTTGACCTTTTTTTGGGGTTTAAACACATGTTAATATATATTGGTTGATGCAACTAACCGCATTCTCAATTGTTTTAACTGATTATAAATATATTTTGGCAATGTCCCCCTTCCTTTTAGGATTCCCCCCTCCACTGTTTTCTTTCTTTGTAACAAAGTTAACAATCTTCAAAACCCCATCTGTTTTAATTGTAGAGATCTGTTGATGAGGAGAACAGAGAGCATGGTGATAAAGTTAGCAAACTGTTGCACTGGATGTCCAATGTGAAACAGACCACGAACAATGATGGGAATGCTCTGAAAGATAGCAATGCCAACACAGACGCTTCTAATAAGCCCCAGGTAAATAATGTGTATTGTATTTTGGTGTTTTCTGGTGTGTCCTGTTTTGATATCTTGCCCCATATGTGTTGTACATGTCAGAATGCTTTGGAAAGTGTTTTTCTAATCAAAATGATATTACAGCCTTTTAGCTGTCACAGTGTATGATTTATAATAAAATAAAAACAGTGTTTACTTAACGATTCATGTAATCCATGTATTTTACACTATAGTAGGCGTAAATACTTTAGCGTATCCCCTGTACACAAAAGGATGGTCAATAATGAGGTTTTCACAATCGTTCAATAACACCAAAAGTTGCACAAGCACTCACATTTCAGAACAACCTCACTGAATAACTGTTATTTAGGCCCAACAGGTGTTTAACATATGAACATTAGGTTCATATATATTATTTTGTCCTTATGTGTCCAAGAAACATTCATTTTATATGTCCCAAAGCTGTCATTATTCAAGTAAAATGTTAAAGACATTTTACATTTCACTTATGTGTGCTGGAGATCAAGATAGCATTGTCATTATAACAGAATTGTTCTGAGACAGATTTTGGGGATCCTGAAATGATAGGTATTCTATAGTATTATAATAGTAATAATAATAATAATAATAATAATAATAATACATTGTATTTGTAAAGCACCTTTCATTGCTAAAAGTAATCCCAAAGTGCTACAAGGGGCATAATATACTTTAAAAAAACACAAGTTTAATAAAAGGCTTTTTTTAAAAGAAAGGTTTTTAGGCCCTTCTTAAAGGAGTGAGTGGTCTGTGGAGTTGTAATAATTGTATTCAATGTAATAACTAGTACTGTAGTAAACTATATTGCAGAAAAAACTGAAGGGACTGACTTGTATAATAATAACAATAATAACAATGACAATAATAATAATAATAATCATAAAAGACACATAGACAAAAAAGGGTGCATAGAGTATTTTGGTAGATTACAACAAAACAACAAATAAAGTACAATTTAGTATTATAAAGAATGATAATTATGTGTGATACGTATTACTAATTAGTATTTATTCTGATTTGAATACACAGAAAAATATGTCAGTATGTTATATTCAATGAACATTTATTTTTCTGATTCAATTTTAGTTTAATCTTTTAGTTTAATTATTATTTACATTATATTATACATTATGCACACAAAAAAAAAAAAAAAAATTCCAACCGTGTAATAATGACAGCTTGGGCCTTTTTCCTTTTGAGAATATAAAACCCTCTCTCAAAGTATTTCTGAAATGTGTAATGCAGAGAAAATGATGCAATCAAATCCAACAATACAATAAATGACACCTTCAAAAATGACTTTAGAGCTATCATCATCTTTAGTTATATCAACTAACATTTGATGCTTTGATTTTCTATTGGTTTGCATTATTTTGGATTATTTCTTTGAAATATAGTCACAAGAGTGTATTTTTAGGAAATAACATATTTTATATAAATAACTCAATTGTAAAACATTAAGCAGTTCTCTTGAAAATTGCAGTTCACGAGAATGTGTTAGGTTGGGGTTTTTGTTGTGTCCCTGTTAACTATGATTATATAAGTTACTACATTATTGCACGATTAATATTCAAAGAGTATTCATAGAAAAGTAAAAAAGAATCACTTATATCATAGTATTAATATATCACTGTTTGATGTTTGTCAGGTTTCAGTTGAGGAGATGGTCACTAAGAAGGAACAAATTGCAGAGGCATTGAGGGCCACGCAAATGATGCTGAACAAACACAGTGACAAGTAAGTGTAGCTACTGTGAGTGACCTGCACAATATTTCTTTCACTGCTTAAATCCTGAGCCTCATTCTTTGTGTTTCATTTGACAGAATGAGCGAGGACGAAAGAGAAAAGGCCCAGGAGCAGCTGAAGGCGCTCAATCAGGCCTACAGTGAACTCTCCCAGCATTGTTCAGATCAGACTACGACTGCAGAAGAGGTTTGATAAAACGCTGTTACATCTATCAGTGATTTGTGTCTTATAATGTGTTAGAAAACACACCACCTGACGTTCAACTGCATGACTAACAATTTCCTCTTCTCCTACAGTGTGTGCAGTTTGCATCCCCCTTTGTATTATATTACATTAGTGGACAAAAACATAGTTCAGTTGTAGCCCACAAAATCTGAGTATGCTGTAAACATGCTTAGTCGCACCCGGCTTTGGTCTGACATGTCTCTGTTATTAATGTGCTTGACTTCAACAGATATGACACTTAACCCTTTTTTCACAGTACACTATGTGATGTGACTAACTACCCTCTTTTTGCAAGATGCTGGATACTGCATTACCAGATGCATGATAGCTTTATATGTATTATCCGTCGCTCTCCTGTTGCAACCCTGATGCGGTCTTGAACTTGTGCACATGGTGTTTTAACATGCCCGTATTTATCTGATGGTAAGTAAAAAAAAATTCTTGCATTTGACTACTTATTTTCAAATTTCAATGATTGGATACTACAGATTTTGATAATCAATTCAGTAATTTGTAAAATTTCCATTTTCTTTAGGTTTCAAAATCCAATGTTGCAGGGCTTGGGACAGAACCCATGAGTGGCCTGATCGGTGAAATACCAGGGGCCCAACCTATGACCCCTGACCTCTTTCAGTCTGAAACTCACGATCTCGACTATAAATCCACCCTGAACCACTTTCAACAGTTAAACGAGGATAACAAGTGCGTACAGAGCTCACATGTCCCTTCTGTGTCGCTTTCTGACATTGCAGCAGCCAGGGAAGGGGCGACATGTGAAGACCCGATTATCAAACTGATAGAAGTCAAAGAAGTCAGTGATGGGTTGAATGTGTGCTACTCAGGGGACACGCTGACCCTGGAGAGGGCTTTTCAGGGTGGTGTAATACCTGCTTCCGTCTATGTAGACATTCTTCAGAGGCAAAACACCAGTCAGAATATGGAAGACACCAGTGAAGATGTGTCACTCCTAGAGCCTTTGCACAAGGTCAACAGACTGATATTAAAGTGCCTCAGCAGTAAAAAATCACTGACATCAGGGAGAGATATTAACACTTTGAGGTTGTTTTGTGATGGTGTAAGTAATCAGGAGATGACAGAGGATGTTGTGAGTGATAAGTTAAAGGTGGATGCAGCGGTTCAGTGTGATTTGATGAGATCTAGCAGCACTCTCATTGTGCTTGAAAATCAGGAGTACTTTATTGGACTCGTGTTGCCTCCCTCGGGGGAAATCCAAACTGTGACAACATCCTTCCAGTATGATCAACAAATGACCACTGAGGAGTTTACCAGCTCACTGTTGGCTAATCGGGGAAAGATAGCAGCTTTTTACATTCCAGAAATATCCGAGGTGGTGGACATCGCCTCTGCCATACAGAAGGATTTGATTGACACTTACACAGCAGAGATTTTGAAAACTATAGAAATTCCTGATGTGTTACCTGATCACCTTAACGACAAGTTTTCATCTTGGCTCATGTACAGGAAACTCACAGTTGATGGATGCGTTCATGCTGCAGATTGCTTGGAAGTTGATAACATCCCTACACAAACAGAGGCAAAGCAGTTATTCATCTCCTACCTGTTGTTGAACAGCTACAACGATCCAGAGTCAGGACAGAGGGTGTTGATACTCGATAGACAGCTGAGTAAAATGGTTAAAATCTATCTTGAAGATTTTATATTGTTCGAGAACACTGAGAAAAATGTAACTTGTCTGAATTTGAATGTAGGAGATCTTTCAGAAAAGGAAGATTTAGAGATACCTCTGCACATAAATGAGGAAACAGAGGAGAAATACACGCTGCACACATTTGATCCTCATTATTCAGTCAATGGAACAATTAGCTTTGAAGAAAAAGCATATCTAAATGACGAGGCTCTAAAAGAGGAACATTTATTAGATGATGCTGCTGACACCACAGTGCTTTGTGTGGTGGAGGAAACCATGTGTCAAAACAACACAAATCGGACACAGGGGGAAGAATTTGAAGATAGAAATCCTGAAAATAGTTTCAAAAATGGAATTGGAGGGGCTGATAGTGAAGGTCTTGATACCCCAACTATTCCAGCCCTTCAAACTTTACACTCTGTGAACAGAACAAATGTCGCCTCCCCATCGAGGATGTTAGACTCTGAGTGTTCAGTGACATCCCACGGACAAACACTTCCATACTACGACGCAGAGTCAGAAGGTACAGACATAACCAAAGATGAGTTTTCAAGCTCTGAGGACATGTTGGATGATGAAAATGAGCAAGACTATGCTATTCATGTTCTGAAGGAAGGAGGCATTTTAGATGTACACTTAGGGAGCCGTTATGACCTGGAGGCGGTATTACTTGGAATACAACCAGAGGATAACGAAAGTGCTGTAGAAGATGAGGATGACACACTATCTGTTTTAAAACAGCCTGTGGATGATGAATCCACATCCTCAAATATCCATTTAATGGAACAGCAGAGCCCATTAAGGGCTGGTTGCACCATTAGTATCAGTGAGTCAGTGGAGTCTGGATTATTCGTAGCTGATTTAAACCCTGAGGCCAGCATTTATCCACAGGAACACTGCACTACCTCTATCTCTGATGATCATTGTCTGCATGTTATTAATAATACTGAAGCTGAAAACACACAGACTGAGAGGAGAGTTTCTGTCATGGTGCTTGATCTCATCCAAGAGGAAGGTGATAAAGAGAAGGAAAGTAGAAATGCAGATTCAGAGGTGGATTGGGAGAAAACAGGAAGTGTAGGAGAGATGAGTGATTATCCGCATCATTCCCCTCCCTCAGTTGGCGGACAGGAGTCCCTGATGATCTCACCCGCCTCGTGGAGTCAGGTTTCCGCAGAGTGTTTCCATCCTACAGACAATTCACTTTTCCCGGCTGAAGCCAGTGACTCACCGGGTGTGATCGATAACCAGCAGACAGATATGGATGTTGTGAGAGAAAAAGCTGCTCCAACTACCCAGTCATCTAGTGTGAGTGACATCATCACTGATCCAGAAAGCCACACTCATTACGCAACTTCAATTAATCATGAATCTGACGGCTCACCCGTTGATAATGATTATTTAATTACCAGAAATGAAGTAGGAGATCAGACAGTTAGTGAGAGTGACTTGGACATGTGCTCATCACACAGCGATGTGTTGTGTGAGGGAAGTAGAGCGGAGAATGAAACAATCTCAGTCCGGTCACATTTGGACGGGCAAACACTGAGCATAGATTACTCATCACAAAGAGATTTGGCTGAAAGTGTAATCATGTCGGAGTTCAGTGGTAATTGTAGCTATGACAACAACATTACAGAAGATGGCAGCAGAATTACATTACCTCAGCGAGCAGCGCTTTGTTCAGAGCGTGATTTTAGTGTTGGATTGGAGCCCAGCTGCTCTGAAAATGATCAGAGATCTTCACAGCTGCACGTTGTTTCCGATGAACTCACCACAACAAATGCTGTTAATCTAAAGTGTTTCAATGTTGAAGATTCCGAGCACTACGCTCTCACTACAGACAGAGTTTCACTTGAAGCAGCACTGGTGGATGAAGATATGTCACAGCACATACCTGCTGCAGAGGATGATGAGTTAGGCACAACACGTGTTTCCCCTGAGAGGCAACATGAGGACCTTTTCACCAGTGATACAAAAGAGATATCTGTGTCAAGAAATGAACGGACAGAAAGTGATTATGAAAATGTGGATATTGGTGGAAATGAGTCTGTGTCAGAAATGAATCCAGGGCAGTCTAAAAGTATAATAAGTGTTTTGTTAGAATCTGATATTCCAGAGATAGACAGATTAGATGTGTTGGCTTCACAGTTGCATGTTGTTTCCGATGAACTCACCTCAACCCATTCTATTAATCTAAAGTGTTTCAATGTTGAAGATTCGGACCATTACACTCTAACTACCGACAGAGTTTCTCTTGAAACACCACTGGTGGATGAAGATATGTCACAGCCCAGAACTGCAGAGGATGATGAGTTAGGTACACAATTATTTTCCCCAGAGGGGCAACATGAGGACCTTTTCACCAGTGATACAAAAGAGATATCTGTGTCAAGAAATGCACAATCAGAAAGTGATTATGAAAATGTGGATATTGGTGGAAATGAGTCTGTGTCAGAAATGAATACAGGGCAATCTAAAAGTATAATAAGTGTTTTGTTAGAACATGATATTCCAGAGGTAGACAGATTAGATGTGTTGGCTTCAGAGCGTCCCCAGGTAGATGCTGACTTCCTATCAGAAAGCCATGTTACATCTGATGCTTCCTCTTCAACTCCATCAGGGTTTCAGGCTGAAAATGTAGATGACAAGGGGGACATTGTTACAAAAGGGACTGATGTCAGTGATTTGCAAAAGGCCCAAACTCAAGACGATGAAAATATCGTGACTAAAGCTCAGACAACTCCACCACCTTTAGACGAAAGTGTATGTCACGAGAGAGACTCGCCTCATGGACTTATAGAGAGCAGTCACCCAGACCTGCTCATGGATTTACTGAAGCAAAACGCCCTTAGTTTGAACAACAAAGAAGTAGAAAACTCAGAGCTGATAATGCAGAAAGAGAAAGTCGGTGAGAAGACAGAAAATCCGTCTGTCGCTCCAAACATCCAGATGCAGCTGCTGCAGGTCCTGAGGACTGTTTCCACCAGCCAAGACCTTTCAATGCTCCAGGAGGTGATGGACACTCTCAACAGCACCCTGGGGGGTGACACCCTGGGGGGGGACTCTCAGGAGGAGCGACGGCACACACTAGAGAGCATCAAGGAGGAGAGCTCAGAGGGGGAAGAGGAGGAGTCAGCAGATGACGACTCGGGTCTCGGTCGCTCTGCTGCAGGCAAACTGTCCCCTCAGACATCTGATGCCTCCAAAGTTGAGGAAGTAAAAAAAAAGGTATGTAAGATTGAGAGTGCTTATCCCTTTGATTAGTTTTCAAAATTTGTATCAGCATTCATCAACAGTTTTCTTCTCCCATCAGCTCTTTTCCGTCCAGGATTATTTGGAGTGTGTTGGGAGGCTGCAGGATCACGCTGATGTTTTAGAAGATGTCAGAAAAGACCTTTCAATCCAGCCACCCGTAGGTAACAACCTGGAAGACCTGCAGATCCAAATGGAGGATTTTCAGGTTGGGAATTAAAAATATTGAACAATATTATTCACTCTTAATTTTCACTTATGTATATACAAATATGCATTAGTTCCTTACTTGATTATCTTTTTCATCCAGTCTCTGAAGTCCCAGTTTTCTCGACTGGCCGGTGTTATCACAGCAGATCTGGAAAAAGCCAAGCAGCTCTTAAATTCAGTTGATGAGGACATTCCCTTACAAATTCACCAAGATTTGGCCTCGACATATCTGGATTTAGAGCCAAATTTTACTGCTGTTACCCAAATGTCTGCCGAAATGAGTAACTCCCTAACTCAAGCAATGGAAACTGGAAAGGTCAGTGTTCATTGCTAGTAATTAAAATACAATGGTGTAACATTTGCATTAGCTAATGACTTCTTTAAATGTTGTTTTAGGTACATTTGGAATCAACATACCAGAAACATATTAGTTGTCTTGGTGAACTAGCGGGCTTCATCAAAAACAACTCTGAGAAGTGTGACATGGATTCGAAAACATGTGATGTGGACACCTTGAAACATTTGATTCAACAGAACAAAGTATATCTAAATAAATGTGATTCACAAACATCCAATATCTACAGCTGCTACGGAAACTAACTTTGCCCCTTTTCCATATTTGTCTCCAGGACACAGAGAGCAGTCTGCTTAAAGAAGTCAGGCTCAAGTTGGAAGATGTTACATTTGATATCCAGTGCTTTATTTCTGAGCATGCTCAGTTTCTGAGTCCAATTCAGAGCAGCCACCTCCTAAAGTTCCTCAGCTCCACGCAGCGGTCGTTCAGGGACCAGACGGAGAGACTGGGTACCCAGAGGAGCGCCCTAAATGTCCTACTGGACACCAGGGAGAGGGAGAGCCAGGAGAAGGTCTGCCTATGGATATACTTTGACATATCACAGATGATTTCTTAGAAAAATACATGTTTGGTTTGTGAGTGAGAATTAAATAATGAGTGCTCACAGTGCATGCAGATTGGGCCGTGTAAAAAGTCAGTTCTAAGCATTAAACATATGTTTTGATCTCTAACACATTGAATACAATTCTGATTTTGGAGGTTCTACTGTGAATACCATAAAGTTTTGGAAAAATAACAACGTTGCATGCCCTTGTGCTTGATGGCTCCTGCAAACTAACTCTTTGTGCTGGTTGTATCCCACAGGCCTTCAAGACACCAGTGAACTATTAACAGTGGACACATGCACCTTCTCCCTTGGAACACAAAAAACAAAACATTAACACACTGGACATAATGTGCCTATTACCACGAGACCAAGCTGGCGAAATAGCATGTTTACAGCATACTAGATATTACACTTTTATAATATAGGAATATGCAGAGCAGATATAGCATGTTACATCTAAATGCTTTAGCAGTTCCTTCTTCCTTCTCTTTATCTTTGTCTTTCCAAGGGTTGTTTTGGCTGGTTTGATGATGTTAACCTTGTTCTAGGTCTTAGGGTCTCTTTTATGTGAGTATGTTTAATGACAGCCACCTGTGATATTTACTTGGTTTCTTTTTTCTTGTTTGACAGTCTTTATTGGAGAAACAAAAGGAGTTTGCAGAGAAGTTGGAGGAAGTGTGTGATAATCTCACCCTGACAGAAAACCAGCTGATTGGTCATCGACAAGAGGCTGAAAACACTGAGTGTGTCACAGACCTGCAGCAGTACCAGCAGGAGCACCAGGTTTGAAAAAAACATTTCCGTTGCCTTTAAGAAACACAACACATGTCCATGTTTTCATCACATTGATTCTCTGACCCTATTCCTTCTGATCTCAAGGCTCTGCAAAAAGAAGTGTTGACTAATGCCAGCGCCTTAAATGAAGTCATCACCAGTACCAAAAAGTTCCTGGAGGAAAACCGGAGCAAGCTGACCCCAGATCAAATTGCAAGCATTGAAAGCAAGCTGGAAGAGGCTAAGAGCAAAGACAAGCTCATCAACCAGAGGGCGGAGGAGTCCAGGAAAGATCTGGAGAAGGTGGTGACCACTGCCATAAAACAGGAGAGTGAAAAGGTCAGAGTTCAGTCTGTAAAAAACACATTTCGCATGAGAATTTTGATTATTATTACAGTGTAATTCAAATATTGCTGAACTTAACGTCAACATATTATATTTGTTATCCATCTGTCATTTCAGGCAGCAGCTGTTGAGCGACTTGAAGAAAGTAAGAACAAAATTGAAGGACTTCTGGACTGGATATCCAACATAGGCAATGAAAACGAGAGCAACCTGGATAAAGACGACCATATAAGTAAAGAGAATGGAAATCTGCCAGAAGAAACTTCAGCCACGAAACTGATAGCAGAGGATGACGATGCCAATGGAAACGTTTCACACACCACTGAGAATGATTCTGGCAGAGAGACCAGCGGGAAGAGCGATGCCTCCCTGGACCTCGATAAGCAGTATGACAGGGTCAAGGTACTAACGTTTGTTTGGCCAAATGTAGAGAGATTAAGCTTGCTCCACAGTTCATACTCACATGTTGGAGTTTATGCAGGCTCTGACTTTCTTTCTTAGTAGGGCAAACGTTCCTAAGGATCACAGAGCGTTACTTAGTAAACAAAGATAGTCAAATTAACAATATGTCATCCTGTCATTTGTTGAACACTAAAAATAAGCTTAAAATGTTATTGTAGAAAAACATTTAAGAGCGACATCCTAACATGCAAAAAAATCTAAGAAGTTGTGCTTGAAATATGACATTTGGCAATAGAAGAGATGAAGAGATGGATTAGATTGTCATCGTCAATCTTTCAGTTTGTGTGTACAGACAGAGAGATCGAAATACCGTTTCCCACAATCCTGAATACAATAATACAGATATATATAAAAATATGTATACACCTACCTATACACAATCAACAGACACATTTATACATTATGCACACATTAAGACATAAATAAAAGCACAACAATCAATATATACAAAATAACAGTCACTTCAATATCTTTGAGAAATATCATATGTACAGCTATATGCTTTGGTATTGGGTGTTATATTGGTATTGTGTCCTCAAGTCTCTATCGTCCCTCAGGCCCGTCATCAGGAGATCCTGTCCCAGCAGCAGGATCTGATCATGGCCACACAGTCAGCTCAGGCTCTGCTCGACAAGCAGGCGAACGTGCTGTCTTCAGAGGAGAAGGAGAAACTGCAGAAGAACATCCAGGAGCTGAAGGGGCGCTACGATGCCTCGCTGACGCAGGCTGAGCAGCAGATGAAGCAGGTGCAGTGTGTCCAGGAGGAGCAGAAGAAGTTCCAAGGTGACGTGGAGGAGTTCGTCAGCTGGTTAGACCAGGCGGAGGCAGACGTAGAGAAGCTTGGAGCTCCTGCAGCCTCCCTCAACATCCTCAACGATAAACTCCAACGACAGAAAAGCTTCTCAGAAGATGTGATTTCCCACAAAGGGGACCTTCGCTTCATCACCATGTCAGGACAGAAAGTGCTGGATGTGGCTAACGCCTGTCGATTTGATGACTCTGCAGCCAAGAACGCTCTTTTGGATGTGGATACTTCAGGAACCTGCTCTGCGGTTAAGGACAAGTTAGATTCAGCTGCCACCCGATACAAAACACTACATTCCCAGGTATTTAGTCTGCAGATGATCAGATAGAGCTTGTAGGGTTGCAATGACTTGTTATTGCCACTGGGCGGCAGCATTTGTCTTCAGTAAAACTAATATTTCACATGAGCACTCTGAAGATGACAAGGTGACAGTTATCTGTTATCTTCATGTATTAAACCTGTGTACTTAATCATTTCATTTCCTTTGTTTCAGTGCAATCAGCTTGGCAACAACCTCAAAGATGTGGTTGATAAATACAAGAAGTATGACGACTCGAGCGCCGGTCTTTTAAATTGGCTCAACGGCTCAGAGGATGAAGGGAGAAAGCAGCAGTCAGAAGCCATAGCAGCCGACCCACAAACGCTACAGAAACAGCTGGAGGACACCAAGGCAAGACAGTGCAAAACACGGCTTGAGTCTTATTTTGGCTTGGAGATCAAACCTCAGATTTATCTCGGATTGTGGTCTTTTATAACTTGCATATTTATTGATATTTATGTGCGGCCTCTCAAATTACTGAGGCCGACACAGGAGTATAAGAAGCCCTTTTGACCTTTTTGAGTTCATTGCATTTAGGGCTGGAATTTATATTTTAACAGTTCAAGTTCAGCTGGTGTATGTATGAGACATACATTGTCCTTAGATAAGATAAGATAAAGTTGTATTTATCCCGGGGAAAATAGTTTTGCAGCAGTTTCAATGCACATTTTCATCTGTGACCTGTAATGGATGTTAGGTTGTGAACATTCCAAGTAAATAAATTATGAATAGCTTCTTTTTTATAAGTAACACATGCAGAACTTGTGGTGTATTGACTTGGTTATAAGGTTCAAGTTCCGATAGACCTGCCTTACCTTATATAGTGTTTCCACTGACTTAAGTACTACATGGTTATTTTTAGCTCAAATTCAAACTCACATGTGAATAGTTTAACTTTGTTTATTTGTAGCCTTCATACTCTCCTGGAGGAGGATAATAAACGATCCTGTCTCTGTCAAAGTTTTGGCAGCAGTCAGCTGAAACATTTCTCTGTAGAGAGGTAGTTACATCACAGATCCCAGATAAGAGGCGCCTGTGGGCCTACAGAGGAACGCTGTGCTTTTAAAGAATCTAAGCCTTTCTGTTAGTGCAAGAGTGAAAACAGACAGGTTCACCTAACCATATCCCGGAAATGACCAAAAAATTCCATGGATATTATTCTGAAGTTGTTGCACATCATAATTGTTTATGTTCTTCTATCCACCACACGCTGAAGTGCTTATTCTAAACAGCACCGTAGAAATATAGAAAGAGGATATTTATTCAAGTCAATGCAGTCTTATTTTCTCTGACCTCTTCTTTCTTAATCAACCCTAGGCCCTTCAAGGTCAGATGACAGGACATCAGACTGCTGTTGACACACTACGCAAAGCGTCTGAGTGTCTGATCACTTCTGAAGGAGATCTGCTGAGCAACTCGGACGAAATCCAGGAGACAGTAGGTGAGGAAGCAAAATAGGGAGCCGATAAAGTGCCATGGTAAGGTAGAATTTATTGCCGGTTCATATTTATTGCAAACATTTGTTTGAAACTCTTTCTCCAAACATTTCACCCGATGCATGTGTGTACAAAAAAGGGTGTAAGAAATGAATCATATTAGATTATTTCACGTGTCATCATTCACGCTCAAATAATGGAGTAGGAGTACAGCGTTTAATATGCACATTTAAAGATATCAAGCATTTAAATTACATCAAATGTTCGGGAAAGTTTCAAAATTAAGTATAACAAAGCAAAGATGTCAGGCATCTATGGAACGCTGTAAAAGGTTATGTTCAAGGCAACGCAGTGATGTACATTACCATCACTGATTAGAGAATTACAGGAACATTATAATTCAGATAAAGAGATAGCAGTATGCAAAGTTAAAGCTGAACTCAATGCGCTACTTACCAAGAGAGCCACATTTCTGATTCATAGGGTAAGAAACCCAGAATATCTAAATGGAAGTAGACCGAGCTCCCTGCTGGCAAGTAAACTCAGAAATAACGAGCAGCTGGCCCAAATATCTTCAATTACGAATAATGATGGCATTGTCCAGTCCGTATTAATCATGAATTTGAACAGTTCTATTAACATTTATATACGTCTCAAGTACAGACATCAAAGGTAGATTTAGAACATTTCTTTGTGGATCTGAATTTACCACATGGTATATCCCCTGAGGACATTGATCGCTTAGATTGTGAAATAACACTTAAAGAATGATCTGAAGCATTGGAAGACATGAACCTTGGCAAATCCCCTGGTATAGATGGTATCCCTTCGGAATTATATTCCCAGTTTTGGCCTGATTTAGGACCAATATTATTGGAAATGATTCATGTAACACTCAAAGAAGAACATTTCCAAAAGGATATCAATACAGCTATAATTTCTCTCATACACAAGAAGAGGAAAGACCCAAATGTATGCACAAGTTTTAGACCAATATCACTTATAAATCCAGAAATCAAACTTTATGCTAAAGTAATAGCTCGACGATTGGAGAAAGTCCTTCCAACATTAGTTCATTATGACCAAACAGGCTTTATGAAAAACCGAATCTCATCAGATAATATCAGGACACTACTGCATGTTATTCATCATTTTTCAGCAGACATAACATCGCCTTGCGCGGCTGTACTATCAGTTGATGCTGAAAAAGCTTTTGACAGGCTAGAATGGCCATTGTTTATGCAAAGAATGGGTTTTGGGGCAAAATGTATGATTATGTTGAAGATCCGATTCCTATATAATAATCCAAGTGCTATGGTTTTTCAATTCAACGTGGCACACGGCAAGGTTGCCCTGTCTCCGCGCTACTGTTTGCAATTTCTCTAGAACCACTTGCACAGAAAATAAGACTATCCAAAGAAGTAAAACAGATAGTTGTAAAAGAGACAGAACACAAAATGTCCTTATATGCGGATAATCTCCTAATCTGTTAAATATCTTTACCCAATTTAGTTCAATTCCCTATATTTTTTATTTGTCTTTTTGTATTATTGTCTATATAATTTGTATCTGTGTATATAAGTCCCTCTGTGAGGGCAACAAAAAAAAACAATAAAAAGTTGGTCACAAAAAAACTAAACAAAGTAAAGTCCAAAGTTCGTAAATATAATAGCCCTACGAAAATGTGTTACTTATAAGTAGGGAAGTTGTTCAATATCAGACTGGTGGTTACCATCAGTATTCTGAACGTTGTAAATGATGTCTCACCGAGGGCCTCCTTTCTACTTCCTCTCTACAGTCATTGGGTTCTTGGCTTCCACTTTAAAATGCTTTAACTACCAAATCTTACTGAATGTAATCCATAGCCAAGATTATAGCCTTTACTAACTCAGATTCTGCCTGGATTTCAAATGTATCCAGAACAAGGAGAAGTCGTTAAGTTTTAAACCTGTTTTTTTTCTGCCTGCGCTGTAGATGACATAGTTGAGCGCTATGACAACCTGTCCAAGTCTGTGAGTGACCGAAATGAGAAGCTGCAGATCACCCTGACTCGCTCCATGAGTGTCCAGGATGGTTTGGATGAGATGATGGGATGGATGGAGGGAGTGGAGGCCAGCGTGAAGGAGAAAGGACAGATTCCCCTGGACTCTGCATCCATTGGAAATATCCTCAGCAAAGAAGCAGTATGTATTCTTTTAGCATTACAATAATTGGACACTGGCTGTAGTGTATATATATTTTTCAGTTAAACATTTACATGTAACTGTCTTACATTGTGTATTTTCTAAGGCATTGGAGCAGGACATAGCAAGTCGCCAGAGCAGCATCTCAGCCATGAAAGCTAAGGTGAAGACGTTTGTGGAGACGGCAGATCCCTCCGCCGCTGCGCTGCTGCAGTCTAAGATGGACACTCTCTCTCAGCGCTTCACTGATGCCTGTGACAAGCATAAGCAAAAAGTTTCCCAGCTGGAGCAGCTGAAGGAAAAGGTGGAGCAGTTTGAGGAGGTCTCAGAGAAAGTCCAGCAGTTTGTCGGGAAGCGTTCACAAGATCTACACGAGACAGACGGGCCTGGGAAAACTTTCAATGAACTGTCTCAGCTGACGCAGGTAACCATTCTGCTGAAGCTGTTCATGACCATAAATAGAGATATCTGGTGTCTTTTAATAACGTTTATTTTGATGGAAAGTAACTAAGCACATTCACAGCACTGTACTTGAGTGCAGCTCAGACAAACTTGTTTATTAATTGAGTATTTCCAGTTCTGCATTATACTTCGTCTCTGATACAATTCAAAAGGAAATATCTTATTTGTCACTTACTGTAACAAGCTCAAACCCATCCTGTTGGATCATATGCTATCTATTGTACCCAGTAGTAAACAAAGTATCATCCAAAAGCAAAATGTTTGACTTTTACTTAAGAATAGCAACTGAGTATTTCTTACACCACTGACGTTTCCATCAAAAAATGACATACATTTCTAATCCCTCTGTAGAACACTAAAGCTGAGATGGCTGAGCATGAGAGTGATTTGGAGACGCTGCAGACTCTGTGCAAGGAGCTGTCTGAAATAAGCCCTGATGGAAACAAAGCCCAGATCCAGAGCAAGATGGACAATCTCTCAAATATTTTTAACACCTTCAAAGACACTGTGAAAGAAAAGTAAGTTGTGCGACAGTGGAGGGAAAAATAGAGTCTTTCTATTTCAACTCTAAACATTTATGATCCTTTTCCTTAGAAGTTATGTTTTTATAAATGACAGAATGATGCGTGATATGGCTGATTCTTGTCTCCTACAGGGAAGAGGAGGTGTCTTCCTGTCAGGATCAGCTAGGAGAGTTCAGATCTTCAGCTAGCGTTCTCACCAAGTGGCTGGAGCAGACCAATGAGAAAGTACCAGCGGTTCAGCCGACCAGCAGTGTGAAAAGTCTGGAAAAGGACCTGCAGATAGTCACCGTGAGTCTAGAGATAAATACAAAGTCAACTTTAGAGACATTTGTGTATATATTTTGTCTAACTGCACTCTTAAGTGCTGGAAAATAAGCCATTGATGATACACTTTGTATTTGGCACGGTAGAGGAGTCCTGTTTTTCCAAAAGATAGATGGTGAGTGGGTTAAAATAGATCATAGTCTTATCCTCCCTAAATTCTCCTCCATCTCAACCTGTTTTCTCTGCCAACTAATGACAGGTGGATGGTGTGTGTTTACACAGACATATCAGGGAGTGAAACACTATGTTGTCCAGGAACTTTTGCGTCACGAGGTGTTGCAAGAAAGATCACAGAAGTAGATCCTGAAAAGCAAAATGTAGAAACAAATCCAGAAGCAATCAGACTTTTATCAGTTTTTCCAGAGGAAGTTTTCTCATGTACAGAAACCCTAAGAGACAAATGAAAAATGATATTGTGTTAATCTTCTAAGTGTTTCCCCATCGTGTTTAAGACTAAAAAAGGTATAACCAGAATACTCTTGCTATGATCATAAATTATTGCTTTCGTCATAAAAAAAAATGTCCAGGTCATTTTTCATCACGATTTATTTAATTTGTATGAGAAAGTAACCACCCAATATATATTTCTTGTTTTAAAACTCACCTGGTAGAAAGCATGTTTTTCGTCCTATTGCGATCACATGGTGAGGATGGACTTCAGTAACATGTGCCCAAAACTAGTATTACAACAACAAACACTATAAATGCTGCCAGGCCTTTAAGTAACCATAGAAATGATCTTCATGAAACCTTTTATTTTCCGTACATGTACATTTTCACTCATCACGTTTTGCTTTATGTGTTATGAATGCCACGACCTATAACCTTTATCTGTGCGATTACTCAGGGATTATTAGATGAGTGGACATCCAAAGACCCAGCTGTCCAGGACCTGAACAGTAAAGGATCAGCGCTCTGCAGCCTCATGTCTTTACTCACATCCCCCGCCAAGACAAAGACCCCTAACAAGTCAGGTAAACATTCACACACTTCCCCTCATTTCTTTGGATCATACAGTGGAATGGGAAGCATGGTGTTCGGGTGCATTTCTGTGGACTGTTCTCACTAACCATTAGGGATCATGGAAAGATCTTGTGCCAACTATCCCAGACAGTCTGCCTTTTCTTTACTTAAGCTTTGTCTTGTGTCTTTGCATCAGCTCTTACTAATGGTGGTGGTCCAGCGAGCCATTCCTACCTAACCAATAAAGGTAATCAAGTGTGTGTGTGTTGATGCTGTTGTGTAAATATATTCTTTGTAGTGTGCTGTGTTGGTATTATGGCTGGTTATCAAAATGGCTGCGGTGGCTCTACTGCATACCCAACAAATAGTAACTCTTGACGATCACTGTTGCAGTTTGTTCAAATATGAATGATAAAGGGAGTATATTGGGTATTTATTTAATGTCCCATTTAAACAAATAGGCCTCAGCCACAGGATCTGAGTTATACACATTTTCCATTGAGTGTTTTCAAAATAATTTAAAGTAGGGCTGCTCGATTATGGCAAAGATCATAATCTCGATTATTTGGGTCAATAATTGATATCACGATTATTAAAAACTATTATCCATTTACTTTGAAAACATCCATTTATTGGAATTGAACAGTATGTTTTTAGCAGTTTATTACACTGAACTTTAAGTATAATTCAACTGAAAAACCACTAAAAAAAGTAATAATAATAATACAAAAATAATCGTTTTATTTTTCGATTACGTTGTTTTCGTAATCGTTGCAAGCCATAATTTTAATTGTGATTAAAATACGATTAATTGAGCAGCCCTAATTTAAAGGCCCAAACTTCCGTTTACACGCATATGGAGGACATACGATAAGATTAGATATAAACCAGATTCATTGGGTCTCAGGCAATACCATTTAGAATCCTATTTATAACTCTTGTACTTTTTCAATGAGGCTGGTATCACAACCACATGATGAAACTGACTTTAAACTGTTGTCTGATGTCCTCAGAGCTGATGGTAATTCAGCAGAACATGTCATTCGTCAATGACGGATACGCAAGCCTCGGGGTAACGCTGAAGAGTCGGGCAGCAGATCTGAGTAGTTCAGTTCAGGAGGTGAAAGAGGCCAACGAGGAGACGGACAACATGATGACATGGCTGAAGGACATGAAAAAGACTGCAGCGTCCTGGAACAAAGCAGCCACAGAGAAAGACTCTGTGAGAACACAGCTCGAACAGCAGAAGGTAGAGTCTTGTTTTCTCTAAACAGCTGTTTTATTATGTGCTGAAACAGCACACGATCCTTAATAACATTGTTTGTTCTGCTTGGAATGATAATCATATGACACTCTAGTTTAAAATCACTGGATTCAGCAATTATAATTTGTGTTATTTTCTCAGGCATTCGAGGAAGGCATGAAGCAAAAGCAGGAGCAGTTTCAGAAGCTCAGAGAAACGCTCCTTAACTTGATTAAGACTCATCCAAACTCCCCTGAGGCGGCACAATGGAAGCAGATGCTCGCTGAAATAGGTATGATTCAAGGTGTTGTCTCCAGATGGCCCTGGGTCATTTATGTCACTGAAACTGTCAGAGTATCCTGCTGACAAAGAAATGTATCTCATTCCAGCACTGGCCTTTAAGTACAAGCATTTATAAATTGATATATATGCGATGTTAGACCAGCTATGTTACTCAAGTTCATCTACCCACCATGAGCAGTGTGCAGAATGTCTCTCAGTTCCTGCTTTAGTCAAATTAACACATTTTTGGTGCCAGGTCCTGCGCAGTGGGAGGTTTGTAGGGAGCACAGCAGGACTGTTGAAATAAAGTTGTTTTATGCTGACTAATGCAGACTTGTGTGAATTTCCTTCCCACCTGCTCAGATGCTGCCTGGGCAGATATCAGCGGCACTGTAGAGGAGAGGAAGCAGCACCTGGAGCAGTCCAACAAGAACCTGGACATCTTCCAAACAACTCAGCTGCAGCTTGGCCAGTGGCTTTCCGAGAAAGAGCTGATGATGAGTGTCCTCGGACCCCTCTCCATCGACCCAAATATGCTCAAAATGCAGAAGCAACAAGTTCAGGTAAGCTTAGGCATGTCTGGTTGAATAATTGGTTAAGATGTTTTGAAGTGGGGTTGTAAAAGGTACTTATCATAATGTTTCCTTTTAAGAAATGTTCATCTTGTATCTTCTGTTGCCCCCCCCAGATCCTCCAGAACGAATTTAAGAGTCGCAAACCCCAATATGAGAAACTGGAGGAAGCTGCCTCTTCCATCCTGAGCTCCTCGGGCAACCAGGACCCCTCTGGGGGGAAGCTGGTGAGGGAGCAGCTCTCTGCCGTCACCCAGAAGTGGCAGGGCATCACGGGACAGCTGGACCAGCGAGACAGCCTCATCGACCAGGCGGCGGTGAAGACAGGGCAGTTCCAGGATTTACTGAGGAGTGTCGGTCAGACTGCCACTCAGCTGGAAAATCAGCTCACCAACCATCAGGGCCACAGCACCCAGCCAGACGCTGTGAAGAAGCAGTTGGAAGATGTCCATAACATCTCGGCTCAGCTGAGAGAGGAGAGGAAGAAGCTGAAGGAGGCGGAGGCCATCAACGCAGAGCTCACAGCGATGGTGACGGAGGACTACCTCAAAACAGACTTGGCCAGACAGCTAGAGAGTGTCAGCAAACCTTTCAAACAGCTGGAAGAGAAAGCAGGTTGGTCTTTCAAACAACCTAAAAAACAAGTGTTGTAATGTTTGGAGAGAAATAAACATTCTCTTTGTCTTGAGTCACACTACAATATATTTATACTATGACCCAAGAGGCTAACAATCACTATCAATCTTTTAAACTCTGGCTTTTTTGTCATCTTTTTTACAATGAATTTTAAATTTGGTGTCTTATATCATTATACATTTATCCGAAATGTAGAATGGAAAGTCATAAGTAACAATATTCCCAGTTAGCATTCTTTGCCGTATTTACATCACTAATTGCTGCACTTCCTCTCTTGTAGCGAAACGGATCGAGCAGCTCAACTCAACCTTTGCCAGCTCTCAGCAGTTCCATCAGACCTCTAAAGACTTCCAGTCATGGCTGGGTGAGAAGCTCCAGGAACAGTCTAAGCCGAAGCCCATCTCTGCCAAGGCGGAAGTCCTGCAACAGGCCCTGGAGGAGCACAGTAAACTCCAGAAAACTCTCGGGGAACATGACAAAGCTTATAACACAATCCACGGGGAAGGAGAGACGCTCCTGCAGAAAATTGACGGTGCAGAAAAGTTGGCTTTACAAGGGCAGCTGACTACACTGTCATCCGACTGGGAGGAGGTGAAGAAGAGCTCTGTGGAGCAAGCTGGCAAACTCGAGACCACTCTGCAGAAATCTCTGAAGTATCAGGAGCATGCAGAGAAGCTCAGCTCCTGGATTCAAGAGTGTGAAGCCAGCGAGGGCCGAGTCAAACTCACTGTTGATCCGGTTGATGTGGAGAGCTCCATTTCTCAGGTGAAGGCTCTCCAGAAAGATGTGGACAAGCACAGGGGGATGGTGGAGCAGCTCAACGCGGCCGCTGATAGTCTTCTTGAGGTGGCCAACGCAGACACTGAAGCAATCAGAGAGGAGAAGGCTAGCATTGGCAAAAGAGTGGATAATGTAGTGGAAGGTCTACAGAACAAAAGGGAATCCTTGGAGAAGATCTCACATACAGTTAAGGAATTCAACGACGCCTACAAAGAGGCAAAGGGTCAGCTCGAGGGGGCTCAGAGGCAAGTGGATTCTTATGAATCACAGGGAGTGCAGGCACACAGCAACAAGAACCTGACCAACATTAAAGCCCAACATAAGAGTTTAGAGGCAGCGCAGAACCAAGTGGAGCACCTGAAGACGTTGGCCAAGGACCTTGTTGTTGGTGTCCCAGATGCTGATGGAGTGACAGACCTCTTACTGCAGGCTGACAGCATGGATAAAGACTACAGCTCACTTAACAAGAAACTAGAGGAGACGTGCCAGGTGTTGGAGGGCAAACTGCAGGGAATTGGGCAGTTCCAAAACCGCATCCGAGAGATGTTCACCTCTTTCACGGACCTGGACGACGAACTGGACAGCATGGCTCCTGTGGATCTCCACTTGGCCACTCTTAAAGAACAGCAGGACAGCATTCAGAGCTTCGTGGCGAAGCTGCAAGAGCTGATGTCCAACACATCCAACGCTGGAGACAGCTGTAAGAAGATGATGGAGACTGAAAGCTCGCCCGACCTGTTGGGCCTGAAGAGAGATCTGGATGCTCTGAGTAAGCAGTGTGGCAAGCTGCTGGACAGGGCCAAAGGTCGAGAGGTGCAGGTGCAGAGCACGCTCACCAAACTGGAGGAGCTGTACGGGAAACTCCACCAAGCAGACAGTAAACTGAGCGGTGCTGTGGGCAAGGAGGCGGCCCAGGAGGCGGTCGGCATGGAGACGGATGGCATCAACCAACAGCTGGAGGCCTTTAAGGTATGGCTTTCCCAATTACTTTTGTATTTTACACCTTAACATGGTATTTCTATTAAACTAAATTGATTTAATAATGCAAAGAGATTGATTTGGATGATGGAACTTACAGCAGCAGGTACCCTTATTTTTGTTTATATGCATAAACTATTTTCCTTTATAGAATAAGACTTAGGGCTTTTTGTTAATCTGGAAACAGTCCAAAAACACAACATATTGAATTTACTGTTGACAATGGTAAAAGCAGCCCTTTATTACATTTACGGTGCTTAGATAAGAGAATGTTTACATTTTATTCTAACGAAATTACATAAACCATTAATAAGTTATCAATATAGTAGTGGAATTATTTCTTTAGTCCTCCAATCAATCGATTAAGGAACACATCTAATTAGTTTATATACATATAAACCAACAACAGCTATTCAACAGCGATTAAATGAGATCATTAAAGATAATTTGCAGATTCTTTAGGTTTATTAAGGGTAATGTTGGAAAACAGGAAATAATGTTTTTCGCATTATAGTTCAATAAGGCAGAACATATTACACAAACATTATTATTAATGCTGGTTAAGGCCTTTTTTGTATCCGACCAATCTCACAAATGTCCACTTTGTTATTTAAAAAAGCATGTGTTGTTTTTATTTCTACCAAGATCACTGGGCTTAAAACTGTATTCTTTCCTTGGTTCCCATACAGTATATTTGAACATTTGATATTTAAGAAGCTATCTATCCCAACAAACCTTGAATTGGGGCAGATTATCCTCAGGCTCTTCTCTGAGCAGCACACTGGCTACATGCAAAGCAATCCTCTGGGGACTGCCGGTTCATTAAGGGCATCTGGTGTTAACAAAAGAGCTCAGCCCATGTGCAGTGATGGGGCAGGAGGGATGGACCCTCGCAGCCAGGTGGTCACCAGCAGGGCGTCACTTGATTCAATGGTCCCATTAGAGGAGCTGGGCCTGCGTCCTGATCTCTTCACATTGATAGTGTTATTGTTTTAAGCCTGAACACTCACTGCCTGATATCATTTGGGGCTCTAAGCTTAGAGTAGCCTGGTATTTTGATATAGACACCACTTAGTATAGTGATGGTTGGGTTACCATGAATAAAAAACCTTACTGTTTACTGCTGGGTTAAGACTTCATATTTAATTGACCCAAAAATGCTCTAGATTATTCCTTTAGGCTAATTAATATTGTACAACAACTGTTTGTTTAAAAATGTACTTTTAGGTAATGCTATATTTAGTATAACAGACATACCACACCATTTATAATTGTCCTAATGACCTGTTTTTAATTCCTCTGACACATGTTATCTTTAACATTTTAGTTAACAACAACAAGGGGTGGCCATTAGCAAGCTTTACAGACAGATGCAAACATGTTTTAAAAGCCTTTAAATTCCTGTAGAGTTTTCCTAAAGAGGATTAACCTATATTCAGGTTAACACTTCTTCATTTTTAGTGTTAGATAGTATTACAATAAAACAATGTAAAAGCCGTGGGTAGTCAAATGACATAGATTTGTGCTAAGATATAGGTCAGGGGATTTTTCTTGTAATTACGGGGGTGCTTCACTTAGGCAGGAGGGTTACATGCAAACCTCCAGTTGAGATACATGGATTAAGATATTGTGGGGGTAGGGTTTTTTATTTTATTGTGTGGAATTTGGTTTAGGGCTCACAGGGAAACTATTATAGGAGTGATTGATTCAAAGAGTTGCTAGCAGCATTGTCATGGTGCATGTTTCTACCCCCTCTTTGTCCTGTCATCAGGCTGGGTTGAGAGGGCATATACAGCCTCAGCTGCTCGTGGAAAACCCCCATTGTACTAATTCGTACCCATACAAACAAGAGCAGTATCGGAACTTTGGTTATTTCGTTATATAGCTGCAACATTAGGTCATTAATGTGTCATATTCTGTTATATGTTCAGTGGATCGGGCTCTTATTTCTGTAGGTAAGTGGACTTTATTGGCAGCTGTTGAGAAAGAAATAAACAGAGAAAGACAGCTCTTGGATTCCTCTCTTTTATGTGCTGTTACCATTTTAGGTCAAGTTTTGAAAGAGAGAGCCTGACTTCATGTGTTTACTCTTGTTTTCACTTGAGATTCGCAGGAGCACGCCTGAGGGAGTCCTGGCGAATGTATATCTTTACATGAACCTTAAAGGGCAGCTCTGGTGACTCAACACCCCTGGGGGTTGGCGTCCCTTCTTTCAGACATTACATCATTGTCTCTTACAAGTTCGGGAACCAGTTTCTAGCATCTGAATCACACTCTAGCTAACCCATTCATTGAAGCTAAAGAGGGCAAAAAGTGTCATCGTGACCATGTAGTACCGCTGACTCACTGCCACTGATACACTCTTAAAGTGAAACGTGAAACTCCTGAAGGACAGTTGCCCTACAAGTCGAATTTAAGTTGTTTTGATGTAAAGCAGCACGTTTTAATTAATGAAAGGGTTCTAGTCTTTTTTCCCAAAGTAGGCCTACATCCTAAGTGATTAAGCCAACATGTAGATCTTCAGATGATCAGCCGGCTATTTAGTTAATACAATGTATCAGCCTGCTTTGTTTGGTGGATAACAACTGAATTAACCTAAAGTATTATCTACTTGTCTGTAAAAAAAATGTGTTGTGAATATTTCTACGTTTTTTGTTCCAGCTTCCAGCGTATTTGCTGTTTTTAAACTCTTTTGTGGTTCATCATTTCTGTAAAGTTCAGAAAGTATAACATATATTTTGGACACTGGGGACAAAGGGACCCCAAAGAGAAAAATAATAATTTGTGTTCTAACATTGGTGTTTGCAAATGAAAATATTATGCAGGTTTCAGTGACCGAACATCCCTTTTTCAAATCCAGATCTTAACTGTTAATTTAGCACTGCCAGTGTCCTCTATCCATCTCCTCTCATGAGTGCAGAGCTGGACAAAGCAGTTGGGATTGTTCAGCTCTTTACTGATCTGCTATGGTGAAGACAATCCAGGAAACAAAAATGACTTCCTTTCACTATCTCTCCCCTGTTCTCCTTTCTTCTCCTGCCCCGGTCACTGGACATAAAAAGCGCCTTCATGCACTTGGCAGAGCTGTCGGTGTTAAATTACCTGGGACTTGTGCCTCCCTCAGCATTCCACAGTAATTAACAATATCTACAGGGTCCACAGCAACCGTCCACAAGAAGAAAACAGAGGGCAAAGAGAGAAAAAATGTGTATCTATTTCAGAAGAGTGTGATGTCATCAGAGTGGGAGCTGCTGCTGCCTGCTGGTCTAGGTTTTTTTTTTTTTTAAGTAGAAGAAATCTGGTGCGTATCACTTCCCCTCCCCATTCCCTCATTCACTGAAAGAAAAGTGCGTGATTGTGTCAGGATGCAGAAGATGGCTTAGAAGTGATGTCATACGGGCCATGCTGACATAAGGGGGAATTAGAAAGGAGGAGAAAAAAAAGGGTCATGTGTCCACCAATCAACATGTGCCGGAGCGGCTCTCAGCACAAATGGAGTTGTGGCAGATGTTGTCTGAATAATGAGCGGGGGCGGGGCATGAAACCCTCTGCCAGGAGGGTGTCTGTCATTGCGAGGGAGCGATGAGGGAGAAAGGGCAGGCTTTTTTGTTTATCCAGGAGTACCAGCTCCCCTCAGAACTGCCCACAGTTTTACGTAGAGCCTGCTGGATTTGCCTGTGGATATTTTCACTTTGCACTGAAGATTTTCCTCAAGCTCTCGTGGATGCTGTGAGGATTTCAGGGGAAAATAAGCACTTTGGACCAGAGGAATAATGATTAAGATTTGGCAATGCACGTAGAAGAGCCTAAAGGAATATTCTCGGGATAAGTAACTGTGTGGAAAGACTGGATTTGTATTCCTAATACGGAGTATGAAGCTGCTATACAGTCCTAGCATTTGTTTGGGATTTTTTATATTGTTTGACTTATTTGTATTTCTAAAGCCTTTATTTGAATTTTTTTTTTGATCAACTTAATTGTGTTTAAATTAAATCTCCACAAGCAACTGTAGATTGTATCTTTAACAAGACAAGTGGAAACGTTTGATATTTATTTGTTAACCATTGAAAAGAGGAGGACAGTTATCATTTTGTACACAGTTGCTTCTTTTGTAAATGAGTGAAATTGTGCTTCTTTTTAAATTACACATTTTGCATAAGATATACCTCAAAGGATTTCACCTCATCCTTAATCTTATTTTATAGTGAGTATTAACAATTGTGTTAGCATGGGCAAACCGCTGAGCAGACCAGATTGCCTGAGACAAAACCCTTCCTGTGTGGGGAAGGGGGAGGAGGAGGACCTGAACATTGATGACTGCTATGTGCCCCAGAGGTCCATTTATGACACTGTCCGGCTCAACGAGCAAATAGACTCGGGCTCTAAGGGCAGCCTTTCCTCCAGGCACTTCACGGGCACCCTACCTTACACTCAACGCACGTTAGACTTTAGCAACTTGTGTGGAAATGGAGCCCTTTCTGCTTCTAGCTCATTTGAGCTCCGAACCCGCAAACCTGCCATCCTCGACCAACGTGGAGTCTTTGATGGAGTTAAGCTCAATGGGCACATAAGCAGGGCGACTGACACAGTGCTACCTAAGACACGTCCAGGAGAGAAGAAGGATCACCCGCATCAGCGACGCTCATGGAGGACTTTTGCCCCAACTAACTTGGGGGAGTATGCAAGCCGCAGTGGGACCCTGTGCTCGGGGAGTGTGGATAGGCCGGGGTTGATCAATGGCAGGAGAGGGCAGAGTATGACCAGCTCACTGACATCTGAAGAGGACTCGGGTCTGTACAGCCCAACTGTGGAAAGGGAGAGACATGCTCATAGGTCCCACAAAAGAGTGGGCCCCGGCACAAGGAGCCTCTCGTCTTCAGAGGCAATGCACATGTCTGGGGACCTAAGAGCTGGGCGATCGCTGAGCTCGGGGCAGGGGGAGTTCCCTTTCTCACCGGTGAGGGACAATCGGTCTCTTTATCACAGCAGCAGCTTGGTGCAGGGGCTGCGACAAACAGAATCAGGTGTGGTGGATCTAAATGTAAAGGATACCCTTAGCAATGGAGAATACAAATACTCCACTGGGAGGTTATCCTCGGGGTCAGCCTCTAGGACCCAAAACGACAGCTCCGGATGGCGTTCAAGGACTTTAACAGACTATGATGAGCTGTCCACTGCTGAGTTGTTGGAGGATGTGTCACCTCAGGAGGACTGTGAGTTGGTCAGTGTGGTGGTGACACAGCCTGAGACGCATGGAAACTCTGTAATGCTACCCGTAGAGCAGGCAAAACCATGTACCGTTGAGCAAGGAGCATCCAAGTACAACATGGAGGACCTGGAGGAGTTTCTGCAATCAGTCGAGGCCTGTCTGCCTAAGGGTTTACAGACGTTCCAGCACGCAGGGGAGCAGGAGATAGAGGCCTTACTGAATGCCATCGCTGCTTGTCCTGAAATGAACCCTATGGGTTTTTTCTCCCCACAGGTGCTCAAAAATAGCCTTCAGTTCTTTGTTCATTAGCTGGTTATACATGTTTTACTACATTTTTTGCTTCTTTGATGGTGTTTTCCCGGTTGCTGGCTATATCTTTTTCTTATATCTGATAACATGATTAGTAAAATAGGTTTTAAATTACAAAAGTTCAAGACAAGATCTGAATTGATTGTTCACAGGGAAAATGTACTTCCTGCAGAAAGCAAAAAAATAAATGATGCAGATGGATTCCATTATAATACAAATGGAACAAGATACAAATAATAACATACCTACATATATACTCTATTTACACCTTTCACTTTTAACTTATATCTCCTCCTTACTAGCTTACCCTTGCAGCCTATCAATGGGATTGTGCACAGCTGTGCCTTTACTTGTTAACTCTCCTTTTCTAGAAGCTGCTGACTGGTTTAGAGAGTTGTTTATGTCAGCTGGATTTTTTAACAACAAACCTGAATTCCTGGTGTCAATTGAATTTGTTCCCTCTATAATATCAAGATCAAAGTCATCTTTCTGTAAATTGAAAGAATCAGCTATTTAATTGGTCTCGTTCTGAATATCAAGTAAAACTAATGTGTCATTAGTTCTCTGTGCTTTGAAACTGGAACAGTAATCCAGTCATTTCCATGAACCTCCAAGTAAGACTAAACACCTCGTAATTTGAGTGCTTATAACATATTTATTCGTATTTGTTCCATTTGTCTTTAGGCTTTCCAGAAAGACGACATTGATCCGTTGCAGACGCAGCTTCAGGACATCAGCTCTCTCGGCCACAGCCTGATACAAAACGCTGCTAAAGGCACGAGCACCAAGAAGCTTGAGGATGACCTGGATGGAGTCAACACAAAGTGGAATACCCTCAATAAAAAGGTTATTTGTTTAATACAACCGGTCTGACTGGTTGTTCTTTGCTTTTGAAAAGTGGTCATTAGTGAAACTATAGAGAGATATTGTCAATGTAATGAGTCATCTGTTTTTTCTTTTTGTAGTCTTATCCTTTGAGTTACTAGGTGCAGTTTTCAGTCGGCTTTAACAAATGTGTAATTTTTATTTACCATCTGGTCTGCAGATCGCTGAACGTTCAGCCCAGCTGCATGAAGCCCTGCTGCATTGCGGGAGGTTCCAGGATGCCCTGGAATCACTGCTCAGCTGGTTAACCGACACAGAAGAGCTTATGGCCAATCAGAAACCTCCATCTGCAGAATTCAAAGTGGTCAAGGCACAGATACAAGAGCAGAAAGTAAGCTGGTATTACGTGGTAGAAATGCATGAAGCCATAAAACCACAGTTACACTTCTGTTTAATCGTTCCACTTCAACACCAGAAAATCCACACAGCATTATGACTCTGCCATCCATCTCATTTAATTGACACCCATTGTTGAACAAAAGTGTGGTAAACAAAGCTGTTGGTTTAATGGACACTTAATCTGTGCCCGTTAGATTTACTGTTTTTCACCACCAAGCAATGCCAGAGCTAGTTAAAGGCACCCAATAACTCTCCTCCTTTGTTTCCCTTTGACAGCTCCTACAGAGACTGCTGGATGACAGGAAACCAACAGTGGAGCTGATAAAGAAAGAGGGAGAGAAGGTTGCACAACTGGCAGAGTCTGTGGATAAAGAAAAGGTTGGAAAGGAGATCGAATGCCTTGCACAGCGGTGGGACAGTCTGCTCAAGAAGGCTGAAAACAGGTCTGTATAAAATACATGTAACCGTTTAATTTGCTTCACAGTTAAATGTTGCTAATGAAGGACTTAAAACATTGTAATGCTTCCACCTCATTTAATTTGTGTTTTTACCTGGATTTGGATCTGGGAATATTCAAAATGTACAAAGATTGACACACCAAAATGCAGCTTCACTTTTCCCCTAATGAAGCAAAAACAAATGAAACATTTGGGAAAAGGAATGATTGCCTTTTTGCCAAGGATTAGACGGGAGGATCGATATCACTCTTTATTTTGTGCTATAAATATGAAGCTAAAAGCTTAGAAACAGATTAAAGGGTTAGCCTTACTCTGTCCAAACAAATGCTGTATATTAGCGCCTCTAAATCGTGCTAATCATCCAATGCTGTTTATGGTACAGGGATCTTATTTCCCTTGAGAGACCCAAGGTAACTGTTCCCCTGTTTTCTGGCTTTGTGCTAAGCTAAGCTAGCTGGCTGCTGGTGTCAACTTTTGCCTCTGTAGTATGTAGCCTGTATAAATGGAAGTGATATTTATTTTTTTGAACAACTTTCTGCAAGAGAATAAAAAAAAATGTATTTCCAGAAATGTCAAACTATTACGTCAAAGGTTGCTAATGAAACAACCTAAAATAAATAGTAAAGTCTTGCCCTTTTATTAACCTGGGTTTTGCCTTCGTTTAAATCTGGGTATATTTAAACGTATGTGAAACTCCAACTAAAAGTAGACCTACCTTACCTTTCTCTCAGTTCAGAACATGGCTCTTAAACGTTATTCATATGTACCGTAGATAACATTTCTTCATTAACTAATAATGGAATAAGCTTGCCTGTCACTCTGTACATGACTTTCCTTTGCTCAGGATTCATTGCTGTTACTGTTTTCATAAATGTTTCAGGCAAAAGCAACTGGAGAGCATCTTAGTGGTCACTCAGCAGTTCCACGAGACGCTGGAGCCCCTGAGCGAGTGGCTGGCGGCTACAGAGAAACACCTAGCCAACTCCGAACCCATCGGCACTGAGACGTCTAGGCTGGAAGACCAAATATCCCAGCATAAGGTAATATCATCATTTTCATCATTGCTCTTTGTTTTTATCATACAGTTGGTTTTGTTCAGCTGAATTTCATTTCCTTCATTTTGCATGTTGCTGCATTTCATTATTACCCATTCCGTTTTTTATATAATTTCAGTTTACCTCTTTTGTTTTTTCTGTTTGTGTCATATTTCTTTGGTTTGTTTCCCATCCCCTGTGGTTAGGCCTTAGAGGAGGAGATTATGAATCACAGTAAAGACCTGTTACAGGCCATCAGTCTGGGTCAGATGCTCAAAGCTGTTAGCTCAGTGGAGGAAAAGGAGTTTGTTCAGTCCAAACTGGACTCCACTCAGTCCGGTTACATAGAGCTCCAGGAGCGATGCAGGAGGAGGGCTGAGATGCTGCAGCAGGCTCTGGCCAACGCCCAGGTGTTCGGAGAGGACGAGGTGGCTCTCATGAACTGGCTGAATGAGGCACACGGGAGGCTGAGCGATGTGTCCGCGGAGGACTACAAAGTAGATGTTCTTGAAAAGCAGCTGGCAGAACAACGGGTATACACTCCTCTCCAGGCCACGCACTTTGTACTCCTTTCATTTAAGTTCTATCAATCACTTTATTGTTTGTGTGTTATCATTGCTTACAGTGGAACATTTATTTTCTCTCTCAACGAATTCCTAAGGTTGTGTTTTCCTTTTTTAGGCCCTACAAAGTGAAATTGAGTTGAGGAAGAAGAATGTTGACCAAGCCATCGCTAACGGGATGGAGCTTCTGAAGCAAACAACAGGCATGTTTGACTTTATGACTCCCTATCACAGTTCAAACAATTGTGTCTCTGTCCACTGTTGAACCGCTCTCTTAATAAGGTCAGACATCTTATGATGTGTATTAAAAAGTATTGGCCAGAGTTCTGAATGTTGAAATCTATTATAATCTATAATCTAATTTTCAGAAAGAACGGCAGTTTCCTATTTTTGCAAGTTAATAACTTTCTTGGGGAAATGACTGTGCCTATTTGGCCACCTTTAAACAGCCAGACTAGCTTTTCCCCGCTTCTATGCTAAGCTAAGCTAACGGGTGCTGGCTCCTGCATGTACACTGCAAACCAGTCAGATATGTGTGGAGTATCAATCCAAAGTTAAAATGCCTAATCATTTCTGCCAAAAATGTCAAACTATTTGTTATCAGTCAGTCATTTTTGCATGTTACAAGTAAATATTTACATTTACATTGTATGGCACTGACTACATTTATGAGTAATACTGCTTACCTGACTCTCATTGCTACCGCTCTATGTTCTGCAGAACCAACAGCATACTGTAGTTACCTATACTACAGCAGAAATACAAAACTTAATATATAATAATTTACTCTCTATTTATAGGTGATGAGGTGGTGGTGATCCAAGGCAAACTGGATGGAATAAAAACAAAGTATGCTGAGATCAACTCAATGAGTGACAGCGTTTTGAAGACATTGGAGCGCGTTTCGAGTCTCTCTGCTAAGCTGCAGAACACCCATGAGGACTTGAGCTCCTGGCTGGAGAAGGTAGAGGCTGAGGTCAGCGCTTTTGCTGATGAGGAGCCCGTGGGCGAGCAGCTCATTCATGCACAAATAAGGCAGAAGGTAGGAGTTTCTACAATAACATTAAGAGAAACCACTGTCATTACTCAGTAAGCTTCTGCCCACTATGCTAAAGTTGGTGCTTTTTTATGTAATCTTATCCAGGCCTTGTTGAATGAGAGCAAAGACCAGAAACCTGTGATGGACAAGGTGAATGAGTTGAGCAGCTCTCTACTGGATCTGATCCCCTGGCACACCCGAGAGGCTCTGAACAAGTTGGTGACTGAGGACAATGAGCGGTACAGAGGCGTCTGCGACACCGTCACCCAGCAGATGGACCAGATCAATGCTCAGATACTCAAGTCACAGCAGGTAAACCAGAGAAACAGTTCATAATAAACAGCTTTTCTCATTCTCATTTTGTTTCAATTGAATGTAACCTTATTAACCCTATAAGTCCTTGTTTAATGCTGACCTAATCGTTTTCAGCTTTGTAAAATATAAAGGTCTCTTTTTTGGTTTTTAGTTTGAACAGGCGGCTGACACTGAGCTCTCCTGGCTGACCGAAGCTGAGGGGAAGTTGCTGTCGATGGGCGAGATTAGGCTGGAGCAGGACCAAACCACAGCCCAGCTCCAAGCACAGAAGGTCAGTCTATCAAACTGTGTATGTGTGTGTATGGATAGTCACAGCCTCCAATTGAACAAAGTACAGTAAACACAGCGGTTTGTTTAGTAAAGAAGTCCAGCCAAACTCACTCTACCGGTTTTCCAGATCTTCTCCATGGACATCATGAGGCACAAGGATGCAGTGGATGATATTGTGAAAACAGGAAAGGCCATCATGAACAGTAAAAACCCAGAGGAGAAAGACATCTTGAAGGTATAAACACTTTACTTCCTATTTTAGAAGTGGGACGTTAATAATTAGTTAATACACAGTTCAATGTGGTTGATATTAAAGGTTCTTGTTGATTTTGAATCAGGCAAGGACCCAGACTCTGTTGGAGAAGTACGGCACCGTCAGTCAGCTGAACTCGGAGCGCCTTCTTCAGATGGAGCGCGCCCAATCTCTGGCAAGTCAGTTCTGGGAGACCTATGAGGAGATGTGGCCTTGGCTTCAGGAAACTGTCAGCGCCTTCAGCAAGCTGCCTCGACCCTCCATCGAGTATGAAACGCTCAGGCAGCAGCAAGAGGAGCTCAGGGTAAGAAGCCGATACGAGCAACAGTTCAACACACATGATTGAGAAATAAAAAACTAAATATGTCTCCTGTTTATCCTCCCCAGCAAATGAGAGAGCTGATTTCTGAACATAAGCCCCACATCGACAAGATGAATAAGACAGGACCTCAGCTTCTTGAACTTAGCCCGGTGGAGGGAGTGCCCATCAGAGAGAAGTACACAGCGACTGACAAACTTTACACCAAACTCAAGGCTGACGTCAAGGAGAGAGCGGCGGCTCTGGATGAAGCCACCTCCAAATCAACCCAGGTGAGGAGCAGTTAAATTACTTATATTTGTGTTGCTTTTACATATAAGATAAGCAAATGTACTTTCAATGTCATGTTATAATAAAGTTACGATTAGAAGATTTGACCAATAGGTTTTATGATAATGTCTTGTTGTACATTCATTGTATTTCTGTAACATGTTAGCTAAACATTGTCCCAGCTTTCTTCAGAGATGTTACAATATAAGGTTTTAATAACAAACTGAAGTACTTCGTCTCCTCGTCCTCCACCAGTTCCATGATAAAATAGAACCGATGTTGGAATCCCTGGAACGGATCGCCGAGCGCCTGCGGCAGCCTCCATCCATCTCAGTGGAGGTGGAAAAGATCAGAGAGCAGATTACGGAAAATAAAGCTGTCTCTGTGGATTTGGAGAAACTGCAGCCCTCTTATGACACACTGAAGCAGCGTGGCGAGGAGATGATTGCAAGATCTGAAGGAGCAGATAAGGATATCTCTGCCAAAGGTATGCATTTTTTTCTTCCATAACAGGCTATGGGATGAATGTAAGAGCCACAAAGACAAATAGTACAATAAACAGGTCAAAAGTTGGAATAACATTGAGAAATACTGCTCAACATCGCAGACCAAACAAAACATGCAAACTCTTTGGTTAAAATCCTTGACTCAAGATCTTAGCTTGAGTTTTGAGTCAGCATTTTTGTTTACTGAATTGCACAAAGCTTTCCTCCAGGTGTGACTTTAATGGGAATGCCTTTCTTAGTTTTAGTTGCAATAAAAAATCAAAGCAATAAACGGAGACCAAACTGTTTCTCATTAAATGTGTGTGTTCTCTCAGCTGTGCTCCCCAGCACTCAGCCGAGGAATACATGCTGATATCTGTGCTATTCTGTTAGTATCACATTTTTTATTTCATTCATTGATTTATTCTATATTCCTTTCCTGCCACACAAGTTGTACAAGACAAACTGGACCAGATGGTGTTCCTCTGGAGCGACATCCAGGCTCTACTGGAGGAGCGGGAGATCAAGCTGCTGGATGTGATGGACCTGGCCGACAAGTTCTGGTGCGACCACTGCGCTCTCATCGCCACCATCAAAGACAGCCAGGACCTGCTGCGAGAGCTGGAGGAGCCCGGGGTCGATCCCTCTGTCGTCAAACAGCAGCAGGAGTTTGTGGAGGTAGACAGATCCTAGGAGTTCACCTGTTAAACCCGAGAGTACCCTAATCCGGGTCCGGCCTGTAGTTTTTTCACGAAACTGTGTCTGTCAGGGCTTCTTAAAATTTAAAAACCTATTAATGTGTCATACTCACTTAACGGGTTAGAAACTCAGCTAACTAAAGATATGAACCATTTTTACCGAAACAAAGCACAAGTCTCACAAGAAGCGTCTAAATAAGCCCTGAGCGAAAAAATGCTAACGCACTTAGCACAGAACTCAAGGTAAAAATACCCTTATTACTTATCGTAACTACACATACAAGATATCAGATTACAGCTGAGATTCCACAGATTCTATAGGTATTAGTATCATCACTGAGCGATAAGAACTCGCGACAGGGGAAGCAAACACAGACATCACAACACGTAGCTTTACGGAGCATTCACGGGAGATCCTCTCACCTTAGCTGTTATTCTGATCAATGGCATTAAAACGATAAAAACGCTGTTGAAGGTTAATCCAATGGTTAATCCAATGTGTCTGTGTGTCACTTTTAAATGATTACTGATAATCCATCATTCAATTTTTATGTCAAAAACGGAGATTTCATATTAGCTGCTAATGATAGCCACCAGAGTGTATGACAGCTTCCGGTTCCGGGGCATTCTGGCTGCGCATCACTCATTCATCAATGGGTAATGTTTAGATGGATTTTTAGGAACTTCCCCTCGATTCTATTGGCTCTAACGGTTAAAAAGAGATGTCAATCATCAAAATCGACCGAGGGGGGCCAGAGATATGGAAAATGCACCCAAATGAACCCAGAAGTGGTTTTCTTTTTCTAAATCTGTCTAAAAAGTTCAAATCTCACTTGTTTTGCATCAATCTTGATACAGGGTACTTATTATATGTTATAGTTTGGATTCCTAAAGCTTTTAGTCTACTAACCCATCATCATCAAGGGTGGTTTTCACTATGAGTAATGGGTTTTGGACGGACACTATAATTTAATTTTTTTTACTGTGTTCAATCTGAATTTACTTTAAAATAAAAACATCTATATTGATTCTGACACTTCTAAATCCAACTCACAGATTTAACCTTGCTTTGAGAAAAAAGATTATTAAAATATACCCCTTTTTAGAAGGGAAGATATGGTCATTTGTTCTGGGAATGTCATTTTCGAGCCTGAGACCTGAAAAACAGGCTCAGGGCTTAACAGGTTAAATCAGAGATGTCCAAACTACGGCCCGGGGGCCAAATGCGGCCCGTGATCCATTTTGAATTGGCCCGCAGCAAATTCTAAAAGTATAATGTAATATGCTTCTTAAATATATACATTACACAGTATTAATGTTTTAAGAAGCCCACTTTTCAAATATATTCTGTCAAATAAAGTTGAAAACATTTTCAAACAAATCTTAGTTGATTAAAAAAAGCGCAATAACTGATTTACATAACAAGCTTGAAATAGACCCTTCCTATTTCCCCTTATTATGAGCAATATGAGGTTTCTGTTTTAAGGAATGAGCTGCCACCAAAAATGAAACCATATGGAAAGCTGTGATGAAGCATATTCAAGTATCAAGCATAATTTAACTACATTTGATTGATTATGTTAACTTATAACTTAACTTATGAGGCAATATACCTGAGGGGCCCAGCCTTTTGTATGTTTCTCTGTATGTGGCCCTCCGTGAGTCAAATCATTGAATGAAAGAACGAATGGGTGATTAAGAGTGATGGAGCATTTCTTAGGTTTAACAACTGCTTCTTTTTTCGACAGGGATTTAAAGAGGAGATCGATGGGCTGCAAGAGGAGCTTGAAGTGGTTCGAGCACAGGGTGAAGAGCTCATGACTGCCTGCGGGGAACCTGATAAACCTGTGATAAAGAAAAGTCTTGATGAGGTACTAGAGGACATTCCAAAGCAGCAGAGTTTTCCTTCTAACTGTCTATGCTGGTTTCTGTGGTTACACATGGCTTATGGTAAAGTTACCCGATCATTTTTCCAGGTGAACTCAGCGTGGGAAAATCTGAATAAGTCTTGGAAGGAGAGAGTAGAGAGGCTGGAAGAAGCCATGCAGGCTGCCGTGCAGTTTCAGGACGGCCTGCAGGTACTATGATCACTCCTTCACTGTGTCTTTTAAAGAATTCTCTGAAAAAATACCGAGTAAGGCTTCTGAAATTACCCTGAATCTTCATGTGACTCATACCACTTTTTCATTACTGTTATTTGTTTTTATTGTATGACTAATTATAGAATTGGTAATGGAGACGTGCACATGCACTTTAGAGTTAAACACACACAAGGAGCCAGCCAGATTGTAAAACCCTTCTTTTATTGCCCTTGATGAAGTGATACATTTTATGAGAGACCTTTTTAAATTTGAAACAATAAACACCAACCACAGCGCTTCGCTTTATTTTGCTCAAACTTCTTCTCATGTGTATGAACTCTTTTCTTGGTTTGAAAGAAAAGCTCCTCTCTAAGACTATTTTAGTTTGACTGAAAACACACCTTTAAAATGTATTCAAGAGAAGAGCTTCTTTCTAATTGTTTTGTTTGTTTGCGTACTTTGTTACTATGATACTATTTACTTCAGACCAATTGTATCGGTGCTTAACATGACACTAGATGTGAAACATGACTCCCTGTGTGTGCACTAAGGCTGTTTTCTCTCAGTAACAATGGTTTCCCACCCTGTTCACAGGGTATGTTTGACTGGGTGGATATTCTGGAGGGCAAACTGGATTCAATGTCACCCGTCGGCACAGACCTGGAAACTGTCAAGCAGCAGATTGTAGAGCACAAGGTAAAGTCTCAAATATCCTGCTGTTAATTATTTAAACAAAAAGTAATTTTGTTTAAATAATTAACAGCAGGATATTTCTATAATTCCCTTCTGCTATGTCCTATGTATTTATATCTAACTTTACTCCTGTACTCAGTGCTACAGAGTCTCTGCCATAACCACAGCTGTATTAATATCATGATTCATACCTTCTCCAGTTTGTATTAAATCTCTGCTTCATAAAGTTGTCACATTGTGCTTAATGCTTGAAAGAGCATAGCCGGGTTTGGATGTATTGTCCAAAAAGCTTTTGTATTTCTGTTGACTGAGTGGGTTGTACCACTGTATGTTCCAGGAGTTCAAAGGAGAAGCGTACCAGCTGCAGATTGAGATGGAGCGCCTGAACCACCAGGCCGGTCTCCTGCTGAAGAAGGTGACGGAGGAGGCCGACCGATTGGCCATCCAGGAGCCAATGTCTGAGCTCAAAATGCTCTGGGACAACCTCGACGAGAAGATCATCAGCCGACAGGTCGGGAAAGGGAGACATGTAGAGGGGAAGCTTTATGCACACACTTTATGTAATGAATGTAATCTTTAATGGGGCAATATGTGCTTTAAATAATTTGATGAGCAATGGTAGAGCATATTTTGTGCACCTGCCCCAGGATTCAACATTTAATAGGTTCTTATTTGGCCTACGGTACACCCTTCCAACAGGTTTAGTTAAAATCAGGCCAGTATTTGTTTTGTTATCCCGCTAACATTCAGACAAACAGACCAACAAACATGACTGAAAAGAAAATAACAACACTAACAAACCAGTGTTACAAACTGCTTTAAATCTACACATAGAAGACAGTGATAAAATACAAGAAACAGTTTAAATAACCTGGCAAGCATAAGGAAAATAAATAAACCAAAATCACATTTTTAAACTGTATAATTTTAGAAGATATTATATGAAAGCCATTGTACAGTATGAAGATACATCTTCAAAAGTGACTTAAATGGCCTATACGCTGTTTAGATACAGTATGCAACTCTCTACAAAAACAGACTCAACTATGGATCCATGGAATATTTTGTAATGTTTACATGCCAGTGCTTTCACGCGCTGTAATATATAATGGTTTAATCTGTTGTTAATTCAGCACAAACTGGAGGGAGGCCTGCTGGCTCTGGGTCAGTTCCAGCATGCACTGGACGAGCTGCTGGCCTGGATGAGCCACACCGAGGAGCTGCTCAGTGACCAGAGGAAGACTGGAGGAGACCCCAAAGCCGTGGAGATCGAGCTCGCCAAGCATCATGTACGGCAAAAGTGCAAATTCATGTATTTGTAAATGAGCATCAGAAAAACATCAAAGAGGCAGTGGATGTATCGCCCTCTATTGTTTGTTCCAAAATGACCTTTTACCCATGTAGATTTAAATGTGTCTTTCAGATCCGTCCACCCAGTATCTAATTTCTTTTGGCTGTTTTATCTCCACAGGTTCTACAGAATGATGTGTCTGCTCACAAGGCGACGGTCGAGACGGTCAATAAGGCCGGTAAAGACCTGGTGGAGTTGAGCGCTGGAGAGGAAGCTTCTAGCCTGCAGAGCAAACTGGAGAACCTGAACCAGCGGTGGGAAGAAATCCTGGAGAAGACGGATCAGAGGAAGCTACAACTCAAGAGCGCTCTGCTTCAGGTATGAAACATACTTTCGCTGTAACTTAAATCACCTTCATGTCATTATTCGATGTTTAATAAGCCATGATTGATTATTTTCTCCCAGGGTAGCAAGGAAGTTATGTGAAAGTCATACATTGTTTTTGGAGGAGTGATCCCTCTCTCTGCCCCCTCCTTATTCCTTTTTTTTTATCCTGTGGAGTTTCTATTCATAACTTTGACCTTTAGCAGCATGCTTTGATGTCAGGGGGGATAAGGGAAACATAAATATGTTTTTTTGAATGTTAAGAATGTTGTTTAACATAACACTTAATCTTGACCAGGTTTTAAAGAAAGGTGTTCTTATCAGAAAAAATGCCAAAAAAGAATATATATGTATTCTTATTTATTTGTTACTCGGTGAGCTTTAAAAGTTCAACCATTTTAACAATTTATTTTAAATGAAAGTGACACTTTCACTTTATTGAATTTCTTATCAAATGCTTTATTTAATTAAATGTCTTAGTTTATACTGCGGAATACTGCAAAAACCCACTACTACTGCTAATGAATGTGAGGAATTAATAACTCAGACATCCTCCTCTCACCCATGGGATGCTAACAATGAATGTGCGTGACACCTTTTGTCCTGACTCAGGTTGTATTGTGTTGTAGGCCCAAGGTTTCCATGGTGAGATAGAAGATATGCAGCAATGGCTGAAAGACACAGAACGTCAGCTGTTGGCATCAAAGGCTGTGGGAGGCTTACCAGACACGGCCCGGGAGCAGCTTAACGCCCATCTGGTATGTGTTTAACATTATGAAAGGCTGCATACAGATAGCAGGCTTGGAAGGAGACGACGATGTCTTTTCTGTGTTTTATCTGAAGTGTGAAAATTAAATGACATTGCAAAATACACTGCTTGCATCCCCCTTCCGAACATGACACAGAGCCTTTTAAAGCGTGTCAAATTGATTTCGCCACGTCTGACTATAATGAATTTAGGAATGTTTTCCCTCCTTTGTTTTCCTCTTTCTTTAATGGAGGAGACACTTTCACAACAAACGCCCCCTGAAGGAGCTTCAGTAATGAGGGGGCCAAAAACAAAGACATTAGTTGTGGGAACCTTTCCTCTAAGAGTGTTATTTTCACAGCATTTTTGTACTAGAAATATAAAGTGAAATAAATATTGTGCATTAACCAATTACTTACACACCATTCAGATCCTCCCGTTCTATCTAACACTGAAGCAGATAATGATTGTATGTATTATTTCATGAATTTGACTTAACAGATTGTACGTGGTTTGTCCTTGTTTGTCATGCTTTGCTTTTTGTTCATGTATGTATGTAAGACGTTGCTTTTGTCGGGACCCCCTTGAAAACGAGATGGTGCATCTCAAGGGGTTTATCCTAATAAATACATTTCTATAAGAGCTATAATTCATTATCTTTGACAATGGCTTCCCTCGTGTCATTATGTCATGTTTTCTTGCAGGAGTTGTGTTCTGCCTTGGAGGTGAAGGAGGATCTGTATCAGGAGTTGATGAACAAGGGTCAACAGCTGCTTGCCATAACACCCGAGGGTCCGGACAGCAACACAGAACAGGACCTCGCCAACCTAAAGGACAAATGGGACGCCGTGCAGGGGAAGGTCGCTGAGAGAAAGGTATGCAGTGGAGAGTTGTGGCGAAGACATATAGGGCTTCACTGTTGTCAGCTTAACTATTCCTACTGTAGATCCCCAGTGAGAGATCGCTGACACACACTTGAGCTATGACTCGGTATTTATGAGCCTGTAATCCCGGTGCTGATAATGAATGGTGTAAATGACGTGGCGTGCTGGCACAGACACACAGGATGTGGTTACACTGTAGATCAGAGCGCTCTGAGTCAGCGTGGAACAACTGTGGTCTGTTACAGTGAAGACTTGTCAAATGCAAACAATGAATAATAGTGCTAATCAAGAAAACTAAAAGTCATCGGTCACTATGTTGTTCTTGTGGAAATCGTATTGATGTTATTCCCTTGTGACATTTTCTCACTTTTTTTGTTACGATAAATAAACATCCTCATATAAAATGGCTTAAAGAATAAGCTTCTCTCCTTACCCCCTCCTCCAACCGCTCTCTATCCAGATATGGAGCTCCTTACAGTATATTCTGTTGGCTTGAAAGTTTGCTGTAACATTTTTGCTTTTTCTACCTATTTACTTTGGTCCTGTTCCCAGAAATATAGAGTCGGGTAAATCTTAGAGCCACACAGACTTGCAGCTGCTGGCCCACACTCTCTTCAGCAATGTGAGACTTCCACAGTCTAGTGAGCACAAACACGTTTGCCAAGCATAAAATAGTTTATTCAAATAATAGCGTAAGTAGAGTCTATTAACCTCTCTCTTGCTTTATGAAGCATTATTACCAATAACTCTCTGCAGGTTCGTAATGTCATTACCATTTACAGCCACGTGATGAGCCAGTGGCCTTGGCTGTAACAAATGGATGTTTCCCTCATTGAATTAAAAGCTCGTCATTCCCCTCCTGCTCCACCACCACCTCTCCAGAGATGTTGACTTCCTCTGTGTAATTAGAGGTCATGTTCGGCACAATTGAAGTGTAATAGTTTTTTTCCACTCCTTTTTATCTAGTGTTGTGGCAACCAAGCGGTTTGTTTTCAGCAGCAGGATATGGATGATATTAGTGCGACCAGACGACAGGATTGTTTCCATGTCTGTGCATAAATCCTGACGATGTGTTGTTTCTGCAGGTGAAACTAGAGGAAGCCTTGACGCTGGCCACGGATTTCCATAACTCTCTGCAAGACTTCATCAACTGGCTCACCCAGGCCGAGCAGACACTGAACATGGTTTCCTCCGCCTCCCTCATCATGGACACCATCATGTTTCAGATTGATGAGCATAAGGTATTGCTCGTGCAGAGAGGAGGGTTTCACAGCCTTGAATTATTACATATGTATAATTATGAAATGATTGCTGTGATTCTAAGTGGACACATTTTTATGCAATTCCATGCTTTAATCCAGACGCTATATAAGATAAGATAAGAAGTACTTTATTGATCCCAAGTTGGGCCATTTTTCTGTTTCAGCAGCATTAAAAGACATAGCATTGTACAATAACAATTAAAAGACTAGAAATAAACATTTCAAAATGTCATCTCAATAGCAATAAAATAGCGATAAAAAAAGTAGAAAATATACATGTTGAATTATAAATGTTCAGTTACAAAATATAAAGCAGGATATTATATATACATAATATCAGTGTCATACAGAAAAGGGCAGTTTCATTTTCCTTGTCATCAAGCCAACATCAATGTAATGACTCCACACTGTTTGTTCATTCAGAACAAAGCTCATTAGCCGATCAATAACTCTGCTGTCAATTAAAAAGCCTGTTTCCTCTTTTGGTATTATAACACCTGAACTAACCCCCTCTCTCCTCTGTGTGCCGTGCAGATGTTTGTGACAGAGGTGAACTCCCACAGGGAACACATAATTGAACTGGACAAGACAGGAACACACCTGAAGTACTTCAGCCAGAAACAGGATGTGGTGCTGATCAAGAATCTGCTGCTGAGCGTGCAGGGCCGCTGGGAGAAGCTGGTACAGCGGTCTGTGGAGCGAGGCCGCCTGCTGGACGACGCCAGGAAGAGGGCCAAACAGGTACTGTTCTATAGTATTCATTCAGGGGGTTGAAATCAGCTTTGTTCAGAGGTGGGAAGTAGTGGAGTACAAATACTTCGTTACTGTACTTAAGTAAATTTTTCTGGTATCAGTACTTTACTCCACTATTTATACGACTTTTTACTTTTTGAACACAAATACCTGTACCTTCTACTTCTTACATTTTCAAAACAGGTTTGTTACTTTAGTTTTAATCTACGTTTGGTGGCGTGATCATTATTATTTAGAGTCATTGCGTGCCTATTGATTTGAAAACGATCCGTGTATCCATCATTTCCTGGTCTTCTCTAAAGAAGAAAACTTTGTAATTTTGCCATTGTTCAGCATCGAAACATTCATTAGCTAAAAATGACATTATTGTTCTATTAATATTATTATTATTAGAGGTCAGTTACTCTTTAAAACAGTTGGTAGTTATGGGTACTTTTTACTTAAGTACATTTGGAAGCCCATACTTCTTTACTTTTACTTGAGTAAAGAAGTTTAGTCAGTACTTCTACTTTTACCAGAGTATTTTTAAACACGAGTATCTGTGCTTCTACTTGAGTAAAGGATGTGTGGACTTTTGCCATCTCTGGCTTTGTTTCACTGCTATGAGGATATGTTTCATTGTTATTGGAAAGATCTGGAAATACGATATCAAACCTGATCATTTTCTGGCTGGAGCTTATTACAGTGTTTTATTAATGTGAGCCTTTCCTGTTTGAACAGAACACTGCCATAAATCAATTGACATCATACCTTTTTTTAAATGCATTGTTTGTTTCTTTAGTTCCATGAGACGTGGAATAAACTGATGGAGTGGCTCGACGAATCTGAGAAGACTTTGGACTCAGAAGTGGAAATTGCAAACGATCCAGACAAAATTAAGACGCAGCTGGCGCAGCACAAGGTGACAAAGCATTGTTTTATGATGATTTAGTTACAGTTAAAATAACCAGCCCCCTTTGACGATAGAGTTTCATTCATTTAACCGACACAAGTCAGAATAATTAGACAGTATGAGTATGTGGGAGTTGGAAGCAGCAATTCTAACTGCAAAAAATATTTATTGGAAATACAGTATCCACAAAAAGCATCAGTCGTGCATTCACCCGCGTTATACCCCACCCACTCCCCTCTTGTTCTCTCTACAGTGTTACTGTATGCGGGGATATTGCGCTAATCCTACATAATCCCTGGATGGAACAAATGCTTTTGGATACTCTTAATCCCAGTGACTCTTAATTTTTGACCCTTTTTTGGGTTTCCCTCACAGAATACCGTCTCCTTAATCTTACAACACACACAGATTAGGATACTGTCTACAGTAGAAGGAAGAAAAAGCTGAGAAGGTTCACTGTAACCCAGCACATCTAAAGCAAGACATTTAAAACAATCCAGTGAACTTGACTTTTCACTTCACAGCTTTTTCATTTAAAACCCTTTTAATTATTGTTTTGGAGGTAGCAGTGTTTTGATGACACTATTTCTCATACGCAGGAGTTCCAAAAAGCTGTTGGCAGCAAACACTCAGTGTACGACACCACCACTCGGACAGGACGGGCCCTGAAAGACAAGACCTCCCTGCAAGATGACAACCAGAAGCTGGATGACATGCTGAGTGAGCTGAGGGACAAATGGGACACTGTTTGTGGCAAGTCAGTAGAAAGGTAAGAAATAATTTTCCTGCATATGTTTTAATAACAATTGAGACTATAAGAGATTCTTCATTCACTGTGATTGATCTGTGCACTCTCGCAGACAAAACAAGCTTGAGGAGGCCCTGTTGTTCTCGGGACAGTTTACAGACGCTCTCCAGGCTCTCATTGACTGGCTGTACAGGGTGGAGCCTCAGCTGGCTGAGGACCAGCCCGTACACGGAGACATAGACCTGGTCCTCAACCTGATAGACACCCACAAGGTAGGAACAACAGCAGACCACAGCAACGCAAACTTCAGAAACATAAAAGTTTTCGCTGCTGCACTGACCCCACCCTTTCCTTTTATCACTCATAGTTTATTATCACAATAGAAAATAAAGAGCACTTAAACCACACCAGGGGTTGACTCATATTTACATCACAAACGAGCTAGCATTGTAATGCCTATCCATTCAAAGTCCTTGTTCTTTGAAGATTAGTATAAAGAACAAGTTATAACTCCACTACATTGGCAATGGAAGTACTTCTGTTTTCTAATGAACTAACATCTGTGAACTTTTGAATTAGATTTTTGTAATCCATTAGCACAATTTCCCTCTGGACTTTTTAATTTAAATAATAAATAGCGAGAAGCAATTTTACTTCCCTCTCATTACTTATGGATCATATACTGTATGTTCTTTACTTTGTTAAAGTGTAAAAGATTAGGTGTACTCTTAATTGTTCTCTTGCCAAATTGAATAAGACATGCTAAGGGGTGGTTGTTTGTTGCTGTTCCAGAAAAACTGATTTATTTGAGTTTGATTTAAGTTTTACTTTAATTATGCCTATATCTTCTCTTCTCCATTGTGTGAATCATGCGTTTGTTTAATGCTGGATGACAAAGATCTACATTTTCTGTTGGGATTTTTATTTTGATATTTATGTCCTCACAGTTCAGTTTCCTTTTCTTTGTATGTTATACGTGACTTAATATTGAAACTTTGAAAAGCAACTGTTATTACAGTAAAAAGTGTAACATAAACTTGCTTGAATGCGTAGACTGTATATATAGAGCTTTAAATACACACATATTAAACCTGTATAATGCATGTTGTATATGGGTTCATGTAGTTTGACTGTGTCCTTCTCTGATTGGTCGCTGCAGGTATTCCAGAAGGAGTTGGGAAAGAGGACGGTCAGCGTTCAGGCCCTGAAACGTTCAGCCAGGGATCTGACGGACATCAGCCACGATGACTCGTCCTGGGTGAAGGTGCAGATGCAGGAGCTGAGCACCCGCTGGGAGACGGTGTGCAGCCTGTCGGTGTCCAAGCAGGCGCGGCTGGAGCAGGCGCTGTGCCAGGTACTGCGGAGCTACTGTTGGTACGTAGAAGGCAGAGTGTGTCTGAGAGCTGGCTGATGTGTGTCCTCTCGCCGCAGGCTGAGGAGTTTCACTCCACCGTTCACATCCTGCTGGAGTGGCTGGCCGAGGCCGAGCAGAGTCTGCGTTTCCATGGCAGCCTGCCTGATGACGAGGAGGCGCTGCAGACGCTTATCGAACAACACAAGGCAAGCATGCAAATATTTCTATTTTTCCCTCTCAAACTAAACTTTTTATGACTAAGTTAATTAATACCGTTCACATGCTGGCATCTTTTCAGGCTATCAAGATTCAAAGGTTTTATTGTCATATAAGCTACAGTGTAGAAATGGCAATGAAATTCTTCTGACCTGAGCTCCTCCAACAATGCAGCATATATAATAAGATACAAATAAAACAATTATGCAAGAAGTCTGTATACATGTAAATAGAATATGATATGTACAAGAACAGAATATGAAATTAAATAATGTACATTAAGACGAAATTAAATATGGTTTATTGTGGTGATAACTATTTGTATAAATAAGTAGAAGGTTGCTTGAATAAACAGTTTGTTAGTAGATGTTATATTTCATTCCCACAATCCAGCATTGTAGATAAATAGGCTCTGACAGCTGTCTGTGCTGAGCACCAAGTGTGACCTTATCTTTTAGGGCCCTCCACTCTGGAACAACTTCCCTGAGGAGGTCACTATTATCTCCAACAATGAAAACGTCATGAGCAGTGCTTCCTTTTAAGTTTGCCAAAGAGAATCCAGATAGAAATCTAATCTTGTACCCATTTGCTATTTTTAAGGAGTTCATCAAGAAACTTGAGGAGAAACGAGTGGCTCTAAATAAAGCAACCAGTCTGGGGGAAGCTATTCTGATCATCTGCCATCCAGACTCTATCACAACCATCAAACACTGGAACACCATCATTAAAGCTCGTCTTGAAGAGGTCAGTGCACAGCTGCATACATGCCTATCGTATAACTTCCTGCAGCCTTTTCCCACACAAATCACTAAATATAATGCCTCATCACACGAAAGGAATTGCTGTATCTCTATTTAGTGTGAACAATGTGTTTAATGTTACTGTTACAGGTGCAGGCGTGGGCGCGGCAGCACCAGAAGCGGCTGGCTACGGCTCTCTCTGAGCTGTTAGCCACTCAGGAGCTGCTGGAGAATCTGCTGACCTGGCTCCAGTGGGCCGAGACCAACCTCAACGATAAGGACAAGGAGCTGCTGCCACAGGAGCTGGAGGAGGTCAAAGGCCTCATAGCAGAACACCAGGTAAAGAAAAGCTGTAGATAAACAGAACTAGTGTTGTTATTTAGTAAAACGACTTGATTGTTGTTATTGACTGTAAATGTACATTTACTGGAACCATACTTGTTGCTTTTCCCTGCAGGCATTCATGGAGGAAATGACCAGGAAGCAACCAGATGTTGACAAAATCACCAAGACACACAAAAGGAAGGCTGCTGTGGAGCCCCCTGTCCAGTCTCACATCCCTGTGCTTGACAAAGGAAGAACTGGAAGTATGTACCCTATAAATGCCCCTCAGAGAGCGTGACCTGAGCCATCTGGCCCTGTTGTTTAGTCACTGCAGGGTGACTCCACATCCTCATCTTCTCCAATTTTAGCACCTGGAATGATGTCAGTGCTTATCTATTCCTGCTCATAACATGGCTAGATCAAAGTCACCATAAGGGTTTTTGTCTTTCACTTGCAGGAAAACGCTCTCCCACACAGACGATGTATGCGTCAGCAACGCAGCCTCCCATTGAGACCAAGAACCCGCGGGTCAACCTGCTGGTCACTAAGTGGCAGCACGTGTGGCTGCTGGCTTTGGACAGGAGGAGGAAACTCAACGATGCCTTGGACCGACTGGAGGAGGTAATCAAACACTCAAGATTTACACAGACAAGAGTTATCATTGAGTGTGGAAGTTAAAGCCCATTCAAATTGATTTCTTAAACAAAAGATTTAATCACAATGGCATTCCTACACAGTTCTACAACCAAGTATTCTGTATTTGTATGTACCTAAATAGTATATATATATATATACCTTGCACTTACAAAATACATTTTCAAATCTAAATTAATCTGAAAAATATAAAAATCCAATTACAACAATAAGAAATTCTGAAAGTTGTGTTCATATCCCCCTTTATTGTTTCTGTGCAGTTGAAGGAATTTGCCAACTTCGACTTTGACGTGTGGCGGAAGCGCTACATGCGCTGGATGAACCACAAGAAGTCTCGTGTCATGGACTTCTTCCGCCGCATCGACAAGGATCAAGATGGCAAAGTGACCCGACAGGAGTTTATAGAGGGCATCCTGTCCTCCAGTAAGTGTCCAACATACAAACTCACATACAAAAAAGCATGTACCCCCACCCCATTTTGTAACACTCATGGCTCTCCTGTAGAATTCCCCACCAGTCGTCTGGAGATGAGCGCAGTGGCAGACATATTCGACAGAGATGGTGATGGATACATTGACTACTATGAGTTTGTGGCAGCTCTTCATCCCAACAAGGATGCTTACAAACCGCTAACAGATGCTGACAAAATTGAAGATGAGGTGATAAAATCTCTTATGGCAAGAATTTCTGAAATGTATATCTAGATATTTATATCTAAAGAATTGTGTTTCAATCAAATGTTTTCTCTGTTTGTAGGTTACAAGACAAGTGGCAAAGTGTAAATGTACAAAACGATTCCAAGTGGAGCAAATTGGCGCCAACAAATATCGGGTAAGAATATTTGAAAGAAAATATTATTATTTGCAGATGTTCCAATAAACACACACACACACTGCCTTAAAATGTTTTGAATACTAGCAGGTAAGTTCTTCAAGAAGTGCCAATACGTTGTAAAATCTAACAGTTCTTATATTCTTTTATTGTTCCTCACATCCCCAGTTCTACCTTGGAAACCAGGTACATATGAAAGTCCTCTTGTGTTTTTTTACCCCTCTGTTCTGTGCCTTAGCAAGCCTTACGTCTTTTTTCATTTACCATGTTTGCTTTCTAATGAACCCTCTCTGCCCAGAGTCCTGGCTGATGTTTACAGAATGAAACTCAGAAGTAGAGTTAAAGATCTATGGCCGTCTGATGTAATCCACGAGGATCATTGGCCTAAGATGCATTTTCAGTCTTACGTCAGAACATATATTTTTATTATTTATTGATATACAGTATCTGCTTTTGAGTTTCAGATAAACAATATAACAAGCCAATACCATTTCAGGCCTTATCTTTTATAAGTCCACGGGCATAAACTCATCTGCTGCGCAGCTTGGAAAATAATGCTTTCTGTGTGCTTGCCTTGGGCTCTTCAGTATCATGGGAATGATTTACAAACATGGCTGACATATTTTTGTGCTACACTCACACTGTTGTGAATGATTTGAAATGAACTATTTACATAGTCAGGTTATGATGATGATTTCAATGAATATATTACTTTTCATTTTACCGACTGAGTTACTATGTGTTGACAAATTGCATGTTGCAGTTTCAAACTCATGTGATCCTATGCTTGCTGAAGCTTATTTGGATTAAGATGAATAATGGGAGGTGTTAGTAAGAGGGGCATTCGTGTTGCTTTATAAAGTAGTTTGCATTGATGTGTCACACAACAATTAATTATAATAACTCTTTTGACAGTTTGGTCAGGTCCAATGCTTACATGACTCCTTACTCGGCGACGAGACATTAGCAAACAGGGAAAATCAAAATCTTACCCCCCACCTACCTGTTGCAGTTTTGGAAAGCTGTATTCTGGTAAATGGTTATTCTTAAAATATGTTTTGTGCCTCGTTTTTCTCCAGATCATCATCACATTTTGATCACTTAAATCACCAGTGGCATTAAATCATTATACAAATCATAAAACGTTTTTACCAGTTGAAGAGACTTCATGAGTTAATACGCACTTAGCGGAGCGTCATCAGTGTTTGGTCATGTCTGCGTGTCACTGTGATGGATTATTAGACGGAAATGATTTGAAACCATTCCTCATGTTTATCCCGTTATGTCATTGGAGCTAGCTGCATTGGATCCGCATCCTTATCAGTGCAACCTGAGCTTTTGATTCGTAGTCTTAGAAAGTGCTGGATTGCGGGAGTTTGCTGTTTGTCTGCTTGATCATGGTGTGGAATTGTTTTTGACAGAAAGCATGCAGCTGTGATTGTGAATGATGTCTTTGTGCTAATGCTCATGGTCACATCCAACTGGCTGACTTCTGTGTGTCATCTCATAAACCTCAAACCATTCGCATCCATCACATGCTCACCTGTTCTTATGTTTGCTATTCGTGGTTGGTATGATGAAGGCAAATTATGATTCTCTAGTGCCTCCTGCTGGTGAAATAATGTGCCTTCAGTTAATGTTTTCTTCACAGGCTCGACCTGCAGTTCAGGCAGCAAACTGAAACCATACACTGGTTAAAACCACACATATTGGAAAATAAAGCCACACATTCATTTTTAAATTAATATATTCCACTGCTGTATTTATGGGAACCCAAGAACACTTGAAGAAGAACAATTATTATTTTGTAGGTAATAGGCTTTGGGTTGACATTTAAAATGTATCAGTTAAGTGTTTTATTTACTATGCAGCATGTCAATACACTGCATAAACTGACATTCAATAAGCTATAATCTGTGACAGATAACAGTGTAGAGCCTGACTGTTACTAGCCTGAGTCTACTATTTCATAGAATAAATAATCATATGATGCAATAGTAAAATATCAGTCCCCTAAACTTCACAAAAAACATGTGATGAAGGTACTGTTTCTAAGTTACCAAAAGGACTTTTTTGTGTAACTTTGTGTCTTTATGCACCAAATTGTATACACAAATACCAATACAAAGCATCTGCTGCAGGCCAATATTAGCTAATAGTTTTGTCTCAACAATAAATGAGTATGGCTCTGCATCAAATGAGGCTATGTGGGATGAATTCACTCATAAGGTATATTAGGAACAACAGATTTGATCTCACACAACAGCACACTCGCTAGAAGAAAGCCAGTTGGATTGCCTTTTTGTGTCATTTGTGTCTTTGTGAATGAAAACAAAAAATACTTGGGTCATAATCCTGTTTGTGTAAATCTGTGCAACATGGGAAGGAAATCAGTACTAAAGTGGACGGAAACTTTGATGATTGTTTGATTTTTGCCCGAAGATTTGAATTGAAGTTGTCACATTTGGTATTAATGTCATTCCCCAAACCAGTCTGGTTTTCGGGGTTGCACAGCTTTTCACCTGCAGTAAAGAGTGTTCATGCGGAGGTCAGCAATTTCACACTCCCCCTCTCTCTGCCCCCCCCCCCCCCCCCCTCATAGTTTGGAGACTCTCAGCAGCTCCGGCTCGTAAGGATTTTACGCAGCACTGTGATGGTGCGTGTGGGAGGAGGCTGGATGGCTCTGGATGAGTTCCTGGTGAAGAACGACCCCTGTCGAGGTAAGTTCAACAGTTCCCAACAAAAAGCCACAACGCAAAATACATGCATTAAATACTTAAAAGTGTACACATCAAATGTTGTCTCATGTATACTTCCGTAGTTAGTTACTCTTGATGAAGATCATGATTGTTATAAAGATCATTTTGTGAATTGTTCGGCAGATTGCAAAATGACAGCCCCTATGTGCGGTAAACTATAATTCATATTGATGTGAACTGATTTGAAATCATAAAAACGTTTTAGTGCGAGGATTACATACATACATTACCTTAGATTAAGACTTAAGTAACTCATTTTGATATTTTGATTTAGTGTTATTCTTTTCCCCAAAATTACCAGATACATATTATTAGGTTTTCATTATGCAACTGAGGCTATAAAAATGTGCTTGGTGTCTGATCCATCAAAAGCTTTGGAAAGCCTAATTTTCTATTTGAATATAAGTGGAAGAAGACTCTATGACTGTCTTTTCTTTTGTCTTTTTATATCAGTATGAAACGTCCTCTCTGAGCCCACGTCTTTTGCTCTATGTACTCTTTCTGCTATCTTCTGTATTAAGTATAAACCTCTGTATTTCCTGCTTAACCTTCCTCCTGCTGAACATGATATCATTTCTTCTAGTTCATCACCACGGGAGCAAAATGTTGCGCTCGGAGTCAAACTCTTCAATTACTCAGTCACCTATAGGTTGGCAAATCTCACAATATCTCACCTTGCTCCATGAACCCACCAGTGGTATGTGTGTCTGCACATCCGAGTGTGTACTTCTTGTATTGGGTATCGTGGTTGTTGTGTGAGCGCTCATCGTGAATGGCATTCTCATGAACTCACTATTAGCTGTCCTTCAGCTAGTTTTCATGCATGCAGTTGTTTTGTGTGAGTCACATCTCCATGGGAACTGAAGTGCCAAACAAGCTCTTTTGTCTCTCTGCATGTAGCGAGGGGCTCACAGCCGACCTTCTTTTGCACTTATCAGGTTTGCTTGACAATCAAACAAATAAACCTCATGAGAGACTCAACCGACGCTTATACTTTTAAATATAAAACTGGACTAACACCATCATTGGGGAGGATGATGGAGTGGTCTCTACATAACACACAACCAAACTGACAACAGTATTTATTTTTACTTTACTTTGTTTGACAGTGGTGATTTAATCTGCATGTAAGACAGTTTGTTTTCAACACAACTGGGGCCAGCTCGGTTTGGTTCATTCGGTGTATTTATGTTTTCTTGGTTTTGTCATATTTATTTGGGCTTGTTTTTGGTGTCAGGGTGTTTGTGCAAAGTTTAATTTGTTTAAATATTTGAACTATTTGCTTTGCAGTCCAAGCAAACAAGCGTCTGTTTCTGGTTGAAAAACCAAACGTTTATTGTAGTAGTACTGCAGTAGTATGGATGAGATGTGAAAGAGCATGAGTCTTGTGTTTTCATCGTTTATTCAGTTTTTGGATTCCATATTTAGTTTGAATTCATTTTAACACTTTATTTTATATATGTCCCTTATCATTTCCCAGTAATTTGGTAATTTGGACATTCCTATTCTATTCTAATTCCTAGTGTAGCCTAGACAAAGAATAGTAGTTGGAAAATTACATTTTGTGATGTTATTTCCAAGGCAAGAATATATCTGAACGTACAGATTTAAAAACAATTCATAATACAAATTATAATAGTAGATTAATATTGGTTTGGGTGTAAATGCAGCAGTTCTTGCAAGAAATGTATGCAATTATCAGTAAAATTAGGGACCCTAAAGTAGAAAATAAAGTGTTATCTCACTCATCATCATCAACTCTCACAACAATCAATGTTAATACTGTGCAGTCCGGCTAACCTGGAATGTCCTTTATTAGCTAAAGGCAGAACCAACATGGAGCTGCGAGAGAAGTTCATCCTGCCGGAGGGAACCACTCAGGTGATGGCGAGCTTCCGCTATCGAGGCCGGAGGTCTCGGCCATCATCCAGAGCAGCGTCCCCCAACAGATCCTGCTCCAGCCAGAGCTGTGCGGTCCCCCCCTGCCCAGCGGTGACCAGCACACCCAAGGTGAGAGACCCCGCTACGCAGGTATCTAGTTTCTGTCACTCTCTTGATTGATCACTCCATCATGATTTCCCTCTCATTTATTCCTTTATTTTACATTATTAGATCACATTTCTTCCTTATTTTTGTGTTTCTTCCATCTAGTGTTTCTCATCGTTTTTGATTTGTGATTCCATGTCTGTGTTTTTTGATTTGCCATTGTTCCCCAGACTCCCCAACACATATCCCGCAATTATGATAAGCCCTGGCTTACAAACAGCAAACCATCCTCTCCTCTTAAATCATCAGACTCCTTTGAGAGCCAAGGTTCATCCTCAGAGGTATAGTCATATACAGAACATGATGTGGGATGCTTCGCAGTCAGGACCCGACTGAAATCTACCACACAATTATCAAATAAAGAGACAAAATATAAAGGAATATTGATTTATCAACATTTAGACAAGATAGAGCTCCTAGTTGGTGTATTTGCTAGTGGTTTATATTTCTGATTTAGATTTTTCCAATGTATTCTGCATTTGAAACAATGACAGATCCTTTAGATGTTGGTTTAATGTGTTAGAGATTTCAGTTGGGTCTAAAAACATTTAAACTTATCTTATTACTAATTTGCTGATTATTTAATTCTCGCCTGACCAAAACGTCGGTCTCATTTTAATGACAAGAATATGAACTTGAGATGTAATCTGAGCATGTGCGATTGTAATGACTTTCCAACTACATGTTTAACATATATTTCAAATACTAACTGCTTCAAATAGATCCTAGGTTGTTGCAAACATAAGGAATGGGAATTCTCTCTGCCAAATTTCAAACTAACTCAACAACATCTGTCATGTTTTCTTTTAACGTTTAAACACTGTCTCTACGTTGTGCAGTTATCTCTCTTTAAGAACAAGGGAAGTCATTAAAGTTCTTTCTTTTGCAGAGTACACCTGTTCAAGGCAGCAAATTGCGTCTTCCTGGGTACTTGTCAGGCAAAGGATTTCAGAGTGGTGAGGAGGGAACGCTCATCAGCGCTGCTGTACTGAAAGCTCGAGGACAGACAATAGGTGGTGAGTAGAGAAAAGACCTCAGCGACTCATCATATTGGAAGAAAATGTGCCAGCAAGTGTTTCTGATTTTAAAGAGCAACACAGTTTGATGTGTTTAAATAAAACATGTTGAGATTACAATAACTTCTTCATGGACCTACAGAGTGGTTTCCAGTCTGTTGAAAATTACGAGTGAATCGTCTGAGGTGTTGCAAAAACTGCAAAGCGGTAAAAGACAAGATGTATTACTTAACCTGCAAGGAACGCTTCTTTGTAATGACTAGCTTGTTATCACTTCTGAAAAAGCAATTAGAGACAACCATCATGGAATATTGAGTATGAATTGAAAACCCTCCAAAATGGCGAGACTAATTAAGCTATTAAATATGATTACTGTGAAAGTATTACTAACAACATAATCTTCCAATAAAACCACCTGCCAGTGACAAACACTGATACCTTTGATTGTATATTGTTCCGCAGCATTATTTATTGTCCTTGTTTTTATGATTTAGAGAGAAGAAATTCTAGCCGTCCTGGAAGTAAGGCTGGAAGCAGAGGGAGCAGTCGCAGAGGAAGTGACGCCTCTGACTTTGACATCTCAGACATCCAGTCTGTGTGCTCGGACGCGTCTGAGACTGTCGGTGAATCGACCCGAGGGACGCCTCGCTCTGCGTCCCATCAAAAAGGAGGGAAACCATCCAAGATCCCCACTCCTCAGAGAAGAACCACTCCCACGAGCAAACTGGCTAAGGGATCCAAGCGATAGTCAGTGGCCTTCAACCCAAACAACCCAGGAGCTAGTTGCACCCTAAACACGTAACGGACACTGGAGATAACTTAAAAGACTGCAAATGTGTTGAGTGTTATTTAAATTGCTGCGAAGATGTAAAATATTCTGTTGAGAGGTAATATGGTTTAATATGATGTGAGAATGGAATGTTAATGGCCTTGTGAATTTGTTTTTTAATGTATTTTATTTTTTGTGAAATATGTGAAATTGTTTTTATTGTATTTTTTATTTTATTAATGCAAAAACCTGTAGAGGTTTGATGAACACTAGAATATCTGGTAATGACTACGTTATACGGTTAGTTAACATTTCTAAACACACTAATGAAGGGCAACATGAGAGTTACTGAATGTACTGTAATTTATGTTTGCTGATGTTTGGAGTAGAAGGTGCATTATGGTACCATTTCAGGCACTGCAATTATTATTAAGTGCTATGATAAACTGCCAACATGCATTTAAAGGGCAATGCAATATATTACATAAACCCCAGTAAGCACTGCAGAAACCTTTGAAACAACACTATGTAAGGCAAGTAGCAGAAACCTCATAATCATGAAGCTTTTAAGTCCTGTTTGTTTGTGAGCAGCTGCAATCCCTGTTTAGTTCGACCACTTCACAGCGGCTTGTGCGCTGACCTTGAAGAGGTGCCACTCCATGTAGACATTCTCTTGTGCATCCATGTCTATGTATGGTATATTTCGGTAGAGCTGAAATTGTCACTGTATCATTACTTTGTAATAAACCTGCTTGCAGAACGTCACCAGAGGCTGGTGTGGACCGAAGAATTCTCTCTGCTTCGCCTGTTTTAGCTCATTGTGTTAACAATGCAGGAATGTTCATACAGACAGTCATGGTTCCCAAAGAATGAATCCTACTGTTTGGCACTGGTCCTGACACACATTACATTACATGTTTTACATTACATATCACTTGTTAGACACTTTTATCCAAAGCGACTTACATACATTCAATACTGTGGGCAATCCCCACAGGAACAATTTGGGGTGAAGTGTCTTGTCCAAGGACACAGCGGAATGTTTGACAGCAGCGGGATTTGAACCAGTGCCCCCATGATCAGAAGATCAGCGCACTACCCACTGAGCCACAACCTCCCACACAAACATCTTAACCATCAGATGGCGTTCCTTTGTACAGACATTGTTTGTCATCGAGGAGGAAACCTACCCAATGCTAATTGTAACCCGTCTTTTTCTATAGCGCCATCAGCAGGTCTAAATTTGAACATACAGCAAACTAACTGATATATATTACTTGGAATATCAACAAGTCAGATCAAAATGTTATTTTTCTTCAATACTGGTTTATGACCTCAAAAAAACAAAGTTCAGCCTCAGCGGTAGGCCTAGGCCTACTTGGTTTGAATGCTGATAAGTGACACATCTATGATGAATAAGATGATAAATATTAACATATAATTTGCAACAACATGTTGCTATTGTAACAGAGCATGTTAGCATACTAACGTTAGCATTTAGCTTTTAGTCTCACAGAGCTGCTAGCATGGCTGAAAACTCTCGTATCTCGCTTAGCTCTTGTCCCTTTCTTCCATGCTGCTAAATTAAAACATTTGAATACAACATGGTGCTTCAAGTATAAGAACATGGGAAGCTTTTAGACTTCTTGTTGCCATATAGTGAAACAGTTATCTCCTGTTTATTTGTTTTATACAGTTGTCATTTCCCACAGTCTACAGCCTGGTTGCTAGCATCAGTGTGGAGGTTTACATCGAGGGTGTGGTCTGCTCAGGGTGGAATGTTTGCAGAGCATCTTGTATTTGGCTGTGACATACTACATCTTTCTCTCATTGAGACTATGACGGTAAAACACTGTCTTTTCAATGAACATACACTAAAACTGTGAGACTGTTTTAAAAGCAATTGTAGACTTATTTCACAAATGTCCCCACAAAGGAGTAATTTATGTTAGACACAAAACCTCATAGTAAGAAACCCCCAAACTTAATTTTTTTAGAGTTGCATTGAATTGTTGAAGCAACATACTGCAATTTGCATACAACATACTGCAAGTTTCAAAAGCTACACTAAGGCTCTTGTATGATCAGCTGCCTGCATTACTTTAATGTGAGTGATGACTGTTTCCCGGACCTGCAGTGACAGTAGTTGTAACTGGCCTATGAGAAGAGACAGATCCCCTGGGGACCAAAGGTGGAGTGGAGCTCAGGGGTCAGGCTCCTCAGCTTTTTCTCTGAATGGTCCTCCTGTTCAACCACACACAGGGCCGGGATGGATCTTTAGAGTGGGATACATCCTCACACCAGAAGCTGGAATAGACCCATCTGCAAGAGCCCTGGGACATTTTTTTCCAGGAATATGTGAGTAATGCATCCTTCTCTTAAACTGTTTTTTTTCAAATCGTTTTTGATGTTAATTAGGGTTTCATATAATGTTAAGTTAGAAATCTTAAGAATATCTATATAGTATTATCCAGATGTCTGTTATCTGGCAATAATGTTTTTCTCTAATGTGGTGAAACTAAAGAATGTTATTCAGTAGAACTTTTTTACACAGATAGTCTTATAATTAAATGACCATAAAACCTAAGCTGTCAAAGACATTTTAAACAAATATTTAAGATGACGAAAAGGACAAATAAAACAGTTTTGATGTGATAGGGGGTTTGGTAGAGACATTTAAGTTTTATTTTATTTACTATTTCTTAATATTTAACATGTATGCCTTGAAATATAAAGGTTAAAAAGTTTGAATTCCTGTCTTGTATTTAACAGCCTATTTTCATTTGGTAATTGATTCATTTTATTGCTGTACTGCAGGCACTTATAGCCCCTGACTTTATAAAAGACAGAATGCCAGCCTACAAAGGAATGCTGGTGTTTGCAGCACTCTCTGCCTTCTTGGGACTGACCCAATGTCAAAAGCTCCCAAGTAAGTTTTATATATTCTTCTTACCTATTTGATATTTCCAACAAAATAACACAAACACTGGCAAATCACTCACATAATATGCTAGTTTCATATGGAAACATTTGTTATAATGGATATGCTGTTTCATTTTTCCTGTCGTAGAGATTTACAATCTCAGACATGTATAATTTATGTTACAACATGTATCATAAAAAAACATGAATCGCATAAATCACGTACATTTTCTGTTGAGCGACTTTAGTTTTCAAGATTTAACACTGTATGTACCATGACCAGCAGATGTCAGTGTTTGTCAGTTCATGGTCCATTGTTTGCCTTCACAGCAATCTGCCCAGTATTGTATTTCCTTATGTGACATACTGAGGGTCATCCTGGGTTAAGCTGTGTACATGAACCTTTGAAGCTCACTGTCTCATCCGAGTCTCACTTTCACCATAAATAAATTAGTAAACACAGGCTCTTTGTTTTACCTGAGAGGTCATACCCTGAGATAGAACAGTCAGAAATAGTATAAGCCGCACTAAGCAATAATAATAGTAGTTATTCCTTTTTAATGTAATCTGTTATCAATTTTAAGTGGACTTTGATAGGTTTTGATGGTCTAATGACTGAAATGCATTAGAATTACACAGTTTTAGAACAAAACGTAACACCTAAACGTTATAATTAGTCTCTCAAATACTCACACTAGAATACCTTGACAAGTCTGCCCATTTTAGGTACGGATTCCTTTTGTACATGCTCTAAAGGAGCAGGTATCCATTTTTCTTTCTAGAGTTAGTTTCTTCATGAGCCATGACATTTGTAATCAGATCACTTTACCTAATAGTTTTGACTTCACAGGAAACATCCCAGCTTTGGTGATCTCATTCAAACTGCAGCACTAAGTGTTTAGAATTCAGTAGCCAAACCCACACATGTAAGAAATAAACAGCTGTTAATGGGTTTCATAAATGACCTCATTGGGGCTGTGAAGAGATGGCATTATTAATGACATTGAGTAATGCAACTATTGAAACAATCCGTGATATCAGCACTGACGTATATTTAGGAAGCAGTCCAGCACCTTTGATGCTGAATCCCTTTGATGTCAAACTAAGCCTGCTGTTTGTGCTGTGAGGTTTTGATCTGCTGGAGGAGTTTCGTGTTCCCGAGTCGAGTGGAGTGAAGATAGTGGACGGATCTCAACCTGAGGCTACGGCCTACCGTGTCAACCCTGCCATCCACCTACGGAGGACTATAAGGTACAATCCCCCACAGCCTGAGCGCAGTTCATTTCAATTAATCTGGAAAATGCAAAGTCACTTAACACAGGGGCTCGAAATAACAACTATGTTGGTCATTATAATTGTAGTATTTCTAGCATTCTATTAAATAAATGAACATACTCCTTTTCTTCTTATACAATGTAGAAACTTGAAACTTAATATGGACACCCGGATGCATCTATTGTATGCACTGAGAATAAAGCTGATAAAAACGTATATATATATATATAAATACTATGGTCAGAATTTTCCTCACGTTTCTGTTGTAAAGCAGAAATAAACTATATACATTTAGACTTTCTCTGATAGTAAACCTACAGTTTCTCTTTAATCTAATTTGAGCTAAAAGCATTAGTGGTTGCCTGTAAAACATCACGTTAGCTACACATGGCACATTGGCTAGCTGACTGCCCTCACCTCAAGAGACGTTGCCACTATGCCTGCAGTCTATCATCACATAGGACCAACTAATTGATGATTTTATGTATTGCAAACTATTTTAATAATTGATTTTAATCAACTTAACTTTTGATGATCTTCTGTAGTTTAGCGTTTCAACTGGCTACAGGGATAATAGCGAGGTGATGTAAGTGTACTCAAGTGTGTGTCAGTATCTTGGAGACATCACTGCTTTGTGCAGACGTACAACAAAGCACAGCCATCAATGTGCAAATGTGGAACAAAATACTATATTTGACTATGGTTCTCAGTTACTCTTTAGAGCTACATTTCAACACATTAATATTGTGTTGTGAGCTTGAATGATGAGAGTTATTTAGCTCAAAGAACTGCTGTGCCTGAGATAGCTGCTAGCATGGGCGTAGACCTTCTTTTTCTCACACCCTGACAAGGAGTTCAGCATTGCCTTTAGATCCTGATGTTTTACCCTTGGGTTAATTGAACATATGCTTTACTCGAAAGAAAGAAAGAATTTCAGTTTGCTAAATAGTCCATTATTCAAAAAAAGTTACAAAGAAATGTGTCACATGCTAAAGTGGAATTTGAAATCCAAGAAGCTCTGTTTCTACTTATTCATGTTCTTATTAAATAAAACCCATATGTCCCTACAAAAGCCCTAAATTGGTGTTTTGCCCCTAAATGCTGCCTCTCTCTAATGGTACCCAGCTTTGTAAACCACACTCTCTTCCCACAGCGATGTGTATCCAGATGGACTTCCCTCCGACTACTCGGTCATTGCAACATTTAAGGTGACCAAGGACACGGCCAAGAAGTCCTGGGACCTGTGGCAGGTCAGCGACCCCGAGGGACGAGAGCAAGTCGGCCTGCGTTTCCAGGGGGACACGCGCTCTTTAGACTTCTTCTACACCAGCCTCCATGGGAGCCAGATGCTGAGGACGTTCAGTGGTGTGGAGAAGATTTTTGATGGTGAGTGGCACAAGTTGGCGCTGAGTGTGAAGGGCAGTCGGGTGAAGCTACTGATGGACTGCGAAGAGGTCAGCGTGGAGTCCATCGATGAGCCGAGGCCAGTAATCCATCAAGGATACACTTCCATCGTGAAGCGCGCAGCAGGAGATCGCTCTGTCTCTGTACGTTCACGGTTTGGATTTATATATACATCTAAAGTAATATTTCAAAAACTTAACAACTTACCATATGATCCCTTTCTCTTTCCAGGTGGATCTCCAGCAAATGGAGGTGTCATGTGACCCAGAGAAGGCTTATTCAGAAGGCTGCTGCGAGCTCTCCAGTGTGGTAGGTCTACTCTCATTCGACATGGTTTCCTTCAGTCAGTTGGCGAAGTCTTTGTGGTTTGAATACAGTTTTCTCGCCTTTCCGTCCATGGCAGTGTGGGGGTTACGCAGAGATTGGCCTAACAGCTGGAAGAGCGTCTTGCAAATGTATGCACGGACAACCCGGCATCCAGGGATCTCCAGGGCCAAAGGTTAATGTGCCTTTACAGTGAGATTTACTGATAGGACAAGTTCAATCTTTGTTGACATATTTTTTGTATTCTTTTACAGGGTCACATAGGTCTTCTAGGAAAAGTCGGAGACCAAGGAAGACAAGGAAACTGGGTAAATACATTTACAATATGTCTCTCAGTGGATCAAATATCAACCCCGGTGTAACACTGGATAAATGATGTTTACTCAGTAGAATCTTTAGCACCCACTTCCTCTTGCTGTACAATGAAGAGTTAAAATAAATTGTGGGAGGGTGACATTGTAAAACTTTTATTCTTGAGACAGCAGCGAATCTGTGGAAAATGGCAATGGAACTGAGACAGGACAGGATGGAAACAGATCTGGAAGCAGAAGCGCTTAGCGATAGTAAACATAGAAGCTTTCATAGTTTTAAAACTAATGTCTGCTTTGCAGAAGGTTCAGGAGGAAGCCAATATAAACACTAACCAATACGGATGTAACAATACATTTGTTTTTGCCGTTCTGAAATAGCTATTTGCATCTTAAAACACAGGCCCTGGCTGTTTAGTATATAGGATTTAACTCAAACTGGCCTGAGATCACAGGATTTCTAATGGTTTTGCTTTTCCATTTGAAAAGAAAAACACAGCTAAATGTAATGAATCCCACACAAAGTAAAACCAAGCAGTTGAGCAATAACCCAACCCTCCAAGTGTTGGTAATGAGCACCATCAGTAGGCTTTACTGTTGGGTGAAATTTGTCTGGATAAGGCAAATTAATTCCCCACAGGAAGACCAAATTGTGAAAGGGAAGAGATGTTTAAGAAAATGATAATGAAGATGGTTTTCTCCTGCAGTTACACATGCATCGATGAATGAACAAATACACTCACATTTGTAAACTTCAGGGAGCCGCAGACGTGATTATTTCCACTTAAGATTTATGACTTGTTAATCTCTTTCATGCTTAGCGGTCAGTGTTGTGTTGAAACAGATCTGAGAGTCTTTTTAACAGTATAGAGAACATGTGTTTAAAGAAGGTGGATTATTTTTTATATGTGTGTGATCGTTTGGCATTTAACATGTCCGTTGCACTCAAAGATATCCCCCATGCTGCCTGAGCACATGCACGCCTCCAGACCCACGCACATTCAAAGCACATTTCCAGAGCTCTGTACATGCTAGGCTACACATTCGTGTCCTGAGTTGCAGCTGTAGCTCATCTGGGAGTAAACATCTGTCTTCTGTAACTCGTTAGAGTTTTGACCTCCTGCCAGCTTGTGAATCACAGAGCCCCAACATGTTTATCTCCTCCCCTGCTGGCATTCAAGGAGGGCATTTCCTGGCACGGATTTCAAAAACTGTCCATCTTAGGTGTTGGGTGGTCCTTTGCTTGTCCGAGCTATAACGCCTTCGAAACGTTGTAAAGTTCACGGTCATGCCTCTCGCCTTACTGTCGGCCATGCCTGAGGTTACCCTTTGCCCAGCTGACTGGGCTGGTGAGGTGGGCAAATAAACTGACAACACAAAGGCATCCTGGAGCTTTTTTGATCTGTTTGTTGACTCAGTGAAATACAGCCAAATGGAAAACATGTTTTCTTCTACTACTAAGGAAGTCAGCATCTGTCCAAACCATTCTGGTCCATTTTGTTGTATTTATGACTCATGTTTCCTAGATCCTGCTGAACATGCTTTTCTGTATTGCCATTAATATTCACTTCCTTACTACAGTTCACGTTATAGGAATAGTTTTTTAAGAGGTTTTTTTTTTTTTTTTTTCACAAAGTAAGATGATTGATACAACTCTATGCTACAGCCAGGAGATAGTAAGCTTAGCAGAGATAGACAGCTAGCTAGCCATGTTCACTCTGGTTTGGTACAAATAAAACAAACACAACATGTAAATAAAGGTCCGGAGTGTAGGATGTAGGTGGATTTATTGAAATAAATAGAATAAATAAAATCATGATAAATCATGTTGTCATCAGTAGCCTATCTTATGGTCTGAAACTAAGAATCCTTGCGGTTTCGTTAGCTTAGAATGAGCCCTTGATATCAACATAGGATCTGGAGTTGACCGTGTTGCACTGAGCTTAATGTTGCCTGGCTGTAGCTAAATAATTCAATTAATACTTTGAGCAATTTGTTTTTTTGAATATTGATAACCCTCTCATAACTGTCTGTTAAATATAAAACTACAGACAAAAGCTGGTCTGCTTAGGTTAGTAGAAATACCGGAAACAAGGGAAAGGCCCCTGTCCAAAGCCAGAAACAAGACAATGGCTTTAAAGCATACAAATGAACACTTTTATAACTCCCTTTGTTTATTGTGGTTTTGTTTTACAGGCATTACTGTTTCTTGCCCAGGCACAATGACTTCCTGCAGTCTTGTCACCTTTAAATATTTGTTTTAATGTTAGACGTCTGGCGTGTTGCATGTTGATTTGTGAGCTTTAGGTGCTGGTAGGCAGATTTAGTTTACTTTTAACTGAACCAGATAAACCATTCCCCCTGCTTCCAGTCTTCATGCTAAAGTATACAAGCATCACACATGAAAGCTTTGCTCAATTTGGTCACTGTCTGTCTAGCAACAATGTCTGCATACAGATCAAAGCTAATTTCCGAGAGTTTAACTGTCATGTCTAAACTGTTTTTCTGTCTGATGAGTCCAAAGTTGAATCTCCCACAAGTCATTATTTCCTTTCTCTCTTGAAACAGCCGCCAAAATGTGTATTTTATGCTGTATTTTCTCAGGCTTTTGATTGACTCAAACTTGTTTTGCAGGGGATCCGGGGGAACACAGGAGATTATGGTAACATTGGCGACACAGGCCTAAAGGTGAGATCTGACTTTAATATCCCCCTATCAGGGTTACACTTTGGTTTGGCTTGGCTTGTTATAAAACGCTTTAATGAAACCTCACACGTTTCCTCAGGGTGAAGAAGGAATCAAAGGGGAAAATGGAATGAGAGGACTCTGGGGCCAAGTGGTAATTTATCACACTGAGGTTTATTATGGTATTAACTCCTCAAATGATACAAATGGTGTATTAATGACATGTTGTGTTTACAGGGAGACAGAGGACCTAAAGGGCTGACAGGATTACAAGGGGCAGGGGGTTTCAAGGTAAACTCCTAGCTGGGTTTAAGCTTGAATTAAATGTCTAATTAGGCAGCTAATGAGGTTACAGACTTTTTATTAGATTTATTTGCAGTTTGCTGTCCAATGTTACAACTTTATAGACAACTGTTAATGTCATTATTGTGACTAATTAAAGGGAGTGCGTGGACCACCTGGAGGTCTCGGAGAGACTGGAAAACTGGGAGAAGTTGTGAGTTAACCCTTCATACACAGTGGTAAGCCCTATTATAATTGAATTATTTTATCTCTAACACTTTGGCCTCCTTAAAGGGTGCTAAAGGCGGGATAGGATATGAAGGCATTCCCGGGTTTCAAGGAGTAAAGGTATTTTTATTTCCTTCCTTTCACTTTCTTGTTTTTAATCTAAACATTGTGATTTAATCCCAATATGTATTTATTTTTCAGGGAGAAAGAGGGAAGACTGGTGTGTTAGGCCGTGCTGGACCCAGAGGAAAGCAGGTGGGTTGTTGTGTGGGATCCCCTGTCCCAAAGTCCATAACGAGCTCTTAATTCTTGTCCACTACCTTCAAAACTCCCATGTGAAGCACTGAGAGCAAGAAAATCTGTTTTAATGTGGTTTAACTCTGGAATCAAACTCTGTTTTTGGCTTATGTGCCGTCTCCATAAACAACATTAGTACATGTGGTAGGATTTTGGCTGAGAACATGAAATGTATCAACATAAACTGGTGATTCACTGAATAAAGAGACTCAAACACAATGCTAACCTACTCTATTGTATATGAAAGAAGGCTCCATGGTTCACCGTGTTTATAGCTGACAGAAATGCGTTGCATATATTATAATGTATTACTTATGCTGATGGTTTGACAGGGCATTCTGGGAGATCCTGGAGAGAGGGGAACTGCTGGACAGAAGGGGAAGCCTGTATGTATTACATTAAACAAAGACAATGTGTCCATTTACAGCAGTACGGTTTTTGTTTTGAAATGTAATGGATGTTTTTTGTCTGAAAACTAGGGGGTCACTGGTCCTGGGGGCAGAGCTGGCACCCTCGGACCGAAGGTGATTTACTGCTGACACACCTGAGAGCTCAACTACCCTCCATAAATCATGTGTCTGTTCTATAATAATCGTATTGTTTCACTAGGGCATTCTTGGAGACCCAGGCTTGCCAGGCAGAGAGGGTGATTTAGGAATAGAGGTATTATATTCTCCTAAAAATGATGTCTTGATGATAAAGTTAATTGGAAGTGCTCTCGTGGTAATGTCATTCATCCCTGACAGGCTTACCAAGGACCACAAGGTCAGAGTGGAAAAGTTGGGCGCATTGGAACAAAGGTAACTCGCCAATCTTGTTTGTTTGTCTGAAGATATGTTAAATTCTGTTTTTTTTGGGCATGTTCATTCATTTGTGATTTTTACAGGGAGAGAGAGGTGCCCTTGGGCCTGCAGGAGAAATGGGTCCCCAAGGCCGAACTGTAAGTCGTTTTTTCAGAAGATAAACACATAATACATTTTCTTATACGTAAAGTAGTTTACCATTCTAAAGGAAAACACCAAAGACTAAAGCAGTCCCTTAGGTCGGTTTAATGAATGTTTTATTCTCGAGGGCCCAAGAGGTTACAAGGGTTCTGCAGGGAAGCCAGGAAGACCCGGATTTATCGGCCCACCGGGACCTGTTGTAAGTGCTCCACAAGAATTTTCTGAAATCTCCCAAACAGTAGTTCATTTTCCTCCATGCCATTAAACCATGTTGTCTCGTTGCAGGGACACATTGGTGTGTCTGGAAAACAAGGATCCAAGGTAAATACATCTTCATCCATCAGCCATTACCGATACAAAAAATTACGCTAACAACACCATCTAATGCCTATCTGTAGATGTTTTAAACTGGAGTATTCTGATTTAAATTGAATAATTTCTGATTTAAAGCGTTACTGTGTGGATTTAAAAGATGCTATATTTGACCAAGTATTAACTATCCATCTGGTCATGCAGTGAACACCTGTGAAGTTCTGATACATCAAATATTTGCAAGCTTTTTCTTATTTTTCATTTGCTTTGTTCAGGGTAACACGGGAATCCAGGGAATCCAAGGAGTAAAAGGTGCACAGGTACGGACTCAAATGTTTCATCCTCTCTCATCATCATCACATTTTTTGGCGACTATTAAAATGAACATAAATGTTTCTTCTTCTTTGTTAGGCGGAGAAAGGAGTTAAGGGCCCAAAAGGAAAGGTGAGCTGTGATTCCGTTGTCAAGCTTCTTTGAGAAATATAATGTTTCTGTTTGCAAACTGAAAAGTCTAAAAACTATTAACTACTTAGTCTATCAACTCTCTTATTTACCTAGTTTTATTTGTGGCATTTTTTGAAAGTTTGGATCAATGCTCTTCAGTTCAGTTTCTGTTCACAAAAAGTTCAAAGACAAGTACAATCATAAGACATAATGTATATGAGAAGGGACACTCTGATAAGCTACCTAGATATTAGGGTCCCAGACAGATATAATTTAATATATGTTAGCGCACACATTGTTTTGATTTGAATGTACAAAATGGCAAAGAATAACCAAAACCCTAAAAATATGTATTTATGTGTATAACTATTAGTTTAAAATTGTCCCAAAACATGAATTCCATCAGTTGAAACCTTTGTTAAATAGTGCAGATAAAAAAACAATAGAGACATACGTCAAATAACAGTACAACTCAATGGATTTTTTCAAACTAGTTTAAAAGTCAGAGGTTTGCTGAACTCATTTGTCATTGTCATGCTGACGGATGCACTGCCTATAGGTTGGAGACAGGGGGGGGCCGGGTCTTCAGGGGGGACGGGGGAAGCGCGGCCCCGCCGGCCCATCTGGACGTGCAGGTCCTGTCGGAGTCAAGGGGGTTCGAGGTGAAGGAGGACTTGATGGCTTCCAGGGTCCCCGGGGTCCACCCGTAAGTAAACTACAAGCTTCTGAATCTGATTTTTTGTTCCTGATACCACACACATTACAGAGCTATAGTATTGTAGTACTACTCTTGAGCCTGTACTATATTAGGCAAACCATGTATCTTTAAATGATGGCACAGAAACAGCAGCAGTTACACAGACTGGCACACAAACAGTATTTTGTGTCAAAAACACATTTAAGAGTTTCACATTAGCCTGTAGTAATAAGTGACTCGCAGCATGGGTTTCATTAAGTGTGGCTATAAATCCATAATGAGCCTAAGGAAATATTATAGGCTTTATTTCTTCATTGCATTTCCTCTGTGAGGCAGTCACTGCTTCAGCATGCCTGTCCCGTAATATTCCTCATCTTACATGTCCTCCAGTTGGGTCCCTTCCAGTGATCATTATGATTCTTCACACAGGGCCCGACCCTCTCAGCTCAACACGTCATCGAGGTTTGTAAGAAAGTGGTCCTGGTGCAGATGTCCACCTTTGCCAACTCAGTGAAGAGGACGTGTGCTGCGGTTTGTCCTCTGTATGGGGACGTCCCCATGGGTGCCCCTGGTCCCACAGGACAGGAAGGACCCCCTGGACCTAATGTGAGTTTTACAATTGTTCATAAATTGACACAAAGTCATTGCTGTTAGTGTTTCTCCCTCATTACGCCGGAGCCCAGTACATTCTCTGTACATTGTTTGGTTTTGTTCTACCCTGTCTGAATAAAATGCACATAGCAAGGGTCTGGATTGGACTTCGAAGCTGAAGTATTTGGCAAAAACGATTTTCCACGTCTCCATGAGGACAAATAAGGAGTCACAGACTAGACACTTGGTCTGTGTTGAATGGTTTTTGGAGAGTATCAAGGCTGTCGTTGGATTGGAAGGCCTTTTCCACATTATAATAGTGTTGAACCGATTCATGTTCCACAACTTCTTTAATCAAAATGCCTCTCAGGCTGATAAATGTTCTTGAGGCCGTGACTTTAAATATTTCACTTTATTACATTATGGCCTGTAAGCCGTTTAACGCCAAACAAGGAACAGTGATCTATCACTACTGTAAAAGGTTTTCCCAACAAAGTGTTATTCAATCATTCAAATAGATCTCTTGATGTTTTAGCTGGTTAGAGGTAGCGGAACCTTGATTCAGGAAAACATTGCAAGGTGTTCACTGAAAACACATAAAAAGATTAATGGGGTATTTTCCTATTTATGACGTTGTCAGGGTGACCCTGGTAATGACGGTGTTGACGGAGAACTGGGTCTGCCGGGATTCTACGGAGAGGCCGGGGATCTTGGCCGAAAAGGAGAAACAGGTGTGAAAATTGTTTTCAAACATTATTTATGAATATGTTGAACACCAAAGCTATAATTCACCAGTGTTAGCAAGATCTAGCAGAAGAAAAATAATTCACATCCTTTACGCCAACAATAATTGATTTTTTGGACCACTAAGAGGCAAGACAACAAGCTGTAACATAAAACATATCATCTTATTCATCGAGCAACTGTTGTGTATTTCACATCATGCAGACAGTTACTGAAATTACTATTTATTTGGAGTTGTTTTTTTGGCAACCTGATAAGTGTTTTTCAACTTTTTCAACTTTAACTATTTACTATTAAGCAAATTCAACTCTATGTCCACCAGCCAGTTGCAGTGGAGCAAACGAGTGAGTTAAAAGCTGCAGAGAATAATTATCGGTGGGTTTGTCTTTATGAAGTCTATTGATCTATTGTTAATACATTTATATATGTACAAATTCGTATTTTGTCCCATCACTTATTGAGTGATGCAGGTTACAGTCAGTAAAAGTCAGGCATTTGTAAATACTTGTAGTGTAGCAATAACAAAGTTCAATATTTCCCTCTGAAATGCAGTAAAGTAGAGTGCTTGTCAAGGACATTTAATTCAAGGCCTTTTTAAAATTGCATGTTAGTACAGTAATGACTAAATGTGCTTCTTTTTACTTTTTCCACCACTGGAAAAAACTTGCTACCTTTCATCATGGACCGCACTGTGCCAATTAAATAGTGTAAAACTAGTCTCGACTAACCTGCACATGCTCAGCTCTAATTCAGAGTTAGAGGCCTGAGCATGATGTCACACTCGTACCACATTCACTTGCCAATCCGATGTAAGGTGTTTGAATGTTTATTTAACAATGATCTCAGTAACACATAAGGTCTTTAATCAACATGTATGCTGTGTATTTGAGTGGCGCTCCGTCCTACAAGAATGGCATTTCGACCCGTCTGCTGTCTAGACCAATGTGTGTGTGTGATTGTGTGTGTGTGTGTCTGGCTTGCAGGTGACAGAGGAGAGCAAGGTGATAAAGGACCCAAGGGTTACGGCCTGCCCGGATACTTTGGAGACCAGGGACCAAAGGGTAAATGACTCTTCCAGTACTTAATAATGTTCGGTTAAGATGAGAATTTAATAGATGTTCACATCTGGGCCTGTGCCTAGTTTTACAAACTATATTCAGCTGAGTCAGTGCTTTGAATCCCAGGAAAGGGTAGAGGAGATATGTTACTGTAAGAGAGGTGTGATATTTGCCAAAAAAGAAAAAAATATCTGTGTAAATGCTCTCTTGCCTGTGAAATAGTCTTAGTCAGCTTAGTGAGTAGACAGAGAGGCCTTGAAGACTAAACAGCAATTTCTCCTCGAATACAGGTCAGCGTGGACGTACCGGCAGAGCCTTTAACGGGCAGCCAGGACAGCAGGGGGAGAGGGGCCACGGGGGCCGGCCGGGCCTCAGGGGCCACGCAGGTCTCAGAGGAGCTCCAGGAGCTTGTCTCACCTCTGGGTGTGCTGCTGAGTCTAACTCCAACAGAGAGACACCTCGACCTGCGGCGCGGAGGCTGAGGAATCGCCAGTAGAGAGAAAAAGATGCTATGTGGATAATGAGAACATTGATCTTATAGAAGGGAAAATGCTAGATTGTTTTTGTTAATATTTGTTCAAAACTATTGAAATGTTCATGTAAATATGAATCCCAAACTGAAACTGAACTTCTGGGAGCAGTTTGATCTACAAGGTTACTACAAGGGACAACACAAGGAGAGTGGTAACAAATTATTATATTATTAAATATTTGTATAAAAAGGCCGTCTTCATTGATAGTTTTATTTAAATTTATTTCACAAGTCTGAGTTGTCTTTAAACATCTGTTCTTTATAATAAAAATCCAAAAATGAGACTGAAGTTTTTTAACCAATTGTGTGAGAGACTTATTGTGTTTATTTCCCAAGAAATGAGAGCTAGTGTAAATACTAGAGCAAAACAACAACAACACTTTGGAGGAAAGTGCAGCTCAGTGTTTATTTTCCCCATAATGTCTAATGACATTCTAATGTATTAAACAGATATTAATCGTAAAGTTAACAACATCATTTGGATGTAACAAAGTGCACATGCTGTTTCTATAAAGTAATCGTCATTTTGGATAAACATGCAAAACAGACATCAGTGCATACTTGCCAAAAAATAACATTCACAGTCATTGCTTTTGGAATTAATTTAAAACACTGAAAAATGTTGTTGTATCCATTCAGTACGATATAATTGCTAAAAGAATGTCAGTACATTTTTAGTTGATCAGAATAAAAGCCATCAGTTTGCGCGGTCTTGGAAAATGTACGAACACGAAATAAGCAACTTTAATTTTATTAAATGTAGGTCCATCTTGGAAGATATTATCAAGATTATTTTATGGTTTTCTTACGTGGGACTGCAAGTATACCCCTTTACGCCAATTTTGGGCCAAGATCCCGTAATTTTGACTTTAAGGATGCAATGCTGGGAATATCTTTTTGTATTTCACAAAGCTAGAATTTGTTCAGCGTTTCCACAAATGCACTTTAGTAAATGCTCCCTGTAATGATTTCTGGTTACAATATGAGTAGTTTCAAACTTAATTCAGGGATTCAAAATGTAGTTCAGCTGCTGACAGATAATTTAATCACCCATAACGTGTGCCTTCTCGGTTGAAAGACGATGCGAGGAGAACAAACAGTGAAGTTTCCCTCATGGTCGCTCAGCACATACTGTTGAAGCGCTGATGCTTCACAGCAACACAGAGATGGTGTGACTCCTGGCCTGTGCGCAGTTTCCAGCTGAATAACCTGCAGGTCAAGAGGAACTCTTAACGGCTTGAGTTAAGTCTTTCTGTATCAGCATTGTAATGGACCACCCCCCCACTTCCCTACTTTGTGATCAATGTATCCTGGGTGACAAAAGATTTGTGTGTTTTTTCCACAGCTTTAATCTGATGAAGAATTATATGTAAAAGTGAAACTCTGCGTGTGACTCAGTGTCTTTCCTGGCTCCCATGCTCTTCCTCTGAAGGCCCAGCGACCATAGATCGTCATCCCTGATCCCCTCGGCGACGGCAGCATCATGTGTGCCATGCTGCTCTGTCATGGAAACTATTACTAATCCACGGTTATCCTCTGATTTTTCTCTCTGGGCTCAACCACTTGCTTCAGACTGCAGGCTCACTATTTATCTCTGTGGCAAACCGTGCAAGTGATCAAGATAAATGCGGCTTAATGCATGTGAGCTGATTAAAACAACCCAGGACCATTGAGCTTCAAAGTGATGGCACTGAAACAGAGGTTATTAGAGAGATACGTTTTATGCTGTCCACAGGCAGATTTGAAAGAATGTTGACCAACTGCCACACACTGCATATGTTAGTTAATGTAAGTCATAAGCAAAATGTGTTATTGTGTTATGTAGAAGTGAGAGTGAGCAAAGCCAGAGCACTTGTGTTGTTAGGCCAAATGCAGTTTTCATTAAATATCCTCCTGCTACCACGTCTTTTAACATGTTGGCAAAATGAGATGCTGCTCGGGGGCTGGACAACATTAACTTTTTATTTGGTAAATTGTATTCCTTTAAATTGACTTAACATATTCCCATGTATTCATACTATTAGTATTTATTTCAAGTACTTTACTCTGTTCAGCTTTGTAAAAGACATCCAAAAGGATGTATCTTTTGGTTTATAAATGTTAAACATTCTGGGGATTGGAAAATGGTTTGTCATGATTATGTGGAAATAAGATAACAATGCAGAGCAAAGATCTGTTGAATGGCCTTTATTCCTTTTGTATGAGGCTGTGGGGGCATATAATGGGAGCAGTCAATAATGTGAATCGCCAAATAGAAAAGGCTTTTAACTAAGGATCTTTCCACACGGTGGCCCGAAGGCAAATTTGTTATCCAAAAGAAGTTGTAAAAGGAGTCCTCAGTTTTGTGGAATCCTGGCAACATTTAAAGCTCTTTAACAACATTTCTCTGAACAGGGGTCAGCATGTTTGTACAGATTTGTACCATGTGAAACAACCCTATAAATGTGCACATTTTACATCAATTGCATATACACTTCTCACATAAAAAAGCATGTGGGGTCGGGAACCCAAGGTCAAAAGATATACCTACGAGGTCGCTGATTCTGTATGTGTGAGTATGCCTTCTAGTAAGGTAAAAAAACATTGGGGAGCACTGCTGTACGTTGCCACTAGATCACAAAGTCCAGAAGGGACAGCACAAAAAGAGGGAACATTTTTGAGGCCACATTTGTGCTTGTCATGATTTTGTGTAAATTGAAACTACATTGAGGTCACGGCCTTTATTAGGATATGATTGCGCAAGATGATTATGGCTTTTTTTGTTTTGATTAACTCGCACCCCAACACGAAATGTAATTACTTAATTCATGGAAAGTTCTAAATATGCAAGTTTCAGATTGACTTTACTGGCATAAACTGTTGAAATGATACTTTGGCAATTCTTTTTTTAATTACATAAGATATGCTGCCATTTTGTTTAGGTGCAATTCAGAGTACGTCAATTATTACAATATGTCCTGTTCTAATGCAAAGGGCCTAATCCAGCCAAACATATGTATTATTTAAACTTGAGCTCAAAGCTAAATGTAACCATTGTCACATGTACAGATATGACCACCGTCCACAATCATATTGATCATTGTGAAGACCTCAGAAGACTTTTGAAGTGGCTTCTTGGGAGGAAAATAAGCACAACGGTTTTTCTGCCCGGGGATTTCCTTCATGTTGGTCACAAACCAGAGAACAGTACGTAGAAACAGAAGATTAGTCAGCATTGGAAAGTCTACTCTCACCAGCAGATCGGCCACTCCCCGGCTCCAAACAGCATCACAGTATTTTCCTGTGTGATCCAGCAGAGTGTGCTGAGGCTCAGGGTCAACAAGGCCGACATCAGAAAAACTGCACCGCTCAGCACGAGAAGATGATCTATCTTTAACGTGAGTATTCACTTTTTTTTTGCAATCAAAAGGAAAGTACAAGTACCTCAAAATTGTATTGAAATAGTGTGCTCCCATAACAATGACACAAAAAGAATGAATTATGTATCGGTTGAAACGTGTTGTCCAACCAAGTGGCTTCAATAAAAGATGTAATCATGCTGCATTGTGCAATACAGCCTGAATAAATAGTGCTGTACAGACCATGTTCAGCACTATACTAGGCTTTCCAGAGCCTTTGAGTGATACTGCAAACACTGAGGTTATTCTGAGTTGACGCAGAGCAGGCTGCCACTGAGCACAAACATGACCAAACTTGTTAGAGAGGATCAAACTGAGATCTGCCTGCTCTACAGATAGCAGACTCAGCTCCATATTTCTAAACACTTCCAGCTGTTCGTGCAGAAACAGCACTGCAGTAGCTCTTCACACCTAGTTCATTGCTGACTTGTTAGAAAATAATCTGCAGTCCATTTGGGTGATGAAGTGCAAATGAAACAGGAGTTATGCATTGCAGAGCCCTTTAAGTCCTGCTGGAGGTACCGTGAGCAGTGCAGTATACAGTATGTGTCTCAGTGTACTAAAACTTGTTGGCTTGTCCCACAGCCAGAAAACTCCATGTTCTCTGGAAATGCCCCTAGCAACCCCCAAACGATCCAAACCCTCAACACTTGGAAGGAGGCTGTGCTCATTACTATTATTTTCCTTTTGGACTTTCAGGGATGGCCTGTCTGCTTTGCTATTTCATGCTCTCCTTATCTGCTTCTCTTTCCACCCATGGTAATTGAAGGTGGCTGTAGGCCAGTAAAAGTCCGGAGAGAAGGTGGAGGGGGGGCGGTGGAGAGGAAGAAGGACAGAAACAGAGTAGACAGAGAGAGCTGCTGGAGAGGGCAGGCTTTCATTCAGCAGAGAAACATGTGCACTGCTCCCCTAATTCACTTTCTGTAAACCCAGGGTTCTGAGCAGTATTGATCACTGGCACTCAATTTGAGGATTAACAGGATTTCACACAAGGCTTGGACACTAACTGGTAACTTTTTGCTTACATTGTTTTACTTTTCTGAGGCAACCTATTTCTGAATTTTAGAAATTATGTATGGCATTAAAAGTGTTGGTGTTGTTTTCATGCACAAACATGCACCTGCAATTTTTATTTCATCAAAAGATATTAGAATATTAGAATCTAATGAGTCCGTTTTTTTAATCATTTGAGAGAACTTATTGGGCTTACTATAGTGTTTTTATTTCAGTGTACAGTGCTGCATGTGTTTTGATGTGTTCAGATTAGTTACAGTTTTTGCACTGTTTCAACTTTTACTTTAGTGTCCTTCAGAGTCTGTGCTGCTACAGTTGCATATTGAAGACATTAAGCTCAGTTATCAGTCCCTTGTTTGTTCTACTGTCATGCAAAGAATGAATGGAATCAGCTCGAAAAAATGTCCTGGCCATTTCACTTCTCGTAAAATAGATTTTTCTTTCATATTCCTAGAATCTGGGCAGGCATACTGCATAGTGCACCACGCCATTGCATTTACTGTACTCATAATGTTTTTTACAGATGTGACACTTGCATGTATATGGACAACA